TAATTCACATAAATTAAACGAAATTTTTAAATAAAAGTGTAATTTAAGCATTTCTCTACTTTTTAGTCGTGTATACTTCTTACTCTTGTCAGAGTGGTCGTGGTTGTGCTGACGGTGTACACGCAGTAACATTTGTTAGCTCCCCAATACTTTTGAGGATCCCCTTCCCAGCGATGCGTTTCACACCTGGCGGCTTGAAGCATTTGGAGTACATTAGACCATCGTTGACTCAATTGCTTTCTTTATTAGGTTGGTCCAATGAGTTGGTGATCGGTCGGGTGATCTCTTTTTTTTCACCTGACCTTGAACAATGGTTCTAGTTCTGGTTCTAGGACTAGTGAGTCTCTCCATCGAGTCCTATTTTCTGGAGATGTTACCAAAAATCCTTAAAATCCCTAATTGTGCATTTGATGAAAGTCGGTCATTGACACAGAGTTCTTTGAGGATGGATGCCTTGATGTGAAATGCGGGATGGGATATTTAGGAGGCACCATATCTCCAGTGCATCAATTTTACGGTGATCCTGCAGTCTTAGAAACCAGGTTTCGGCTCCAGAATGCATTTAGAGAGTTGGAATAAGCTCGAATATCGGCGTGTAAAAAATGCTAGTTACTATATCTTCCCTAGACGATCCCTTTTCCTCATTCTATACCATTACATTCAAAGAAACTATTACAATAACTGGTCCTTCTTACTTCTTCGTTGCACCACTGAACTCTTATTGTAAAATCCGTGGCATTTTAAATTGGCCTATTAACTAACTAGTCTTAGATTGAGAATTTATTTTGTCATTGTAATTTACTTCAATTCTTGATTAGCTTGCTTCTCCTTCATTTTTCATAATATGCGACTATTAGTGATTAAAGTATTTACGTTTAGTTTTGTCTCATTTTTGTCACAGTTCCCTAAACATTTTCGGTTAATTCAGTTTACGCATACGCAAGGTTTCCATAAAAATCACTACTACAATTGTAAATTCGACAAATATGTATTAATGTGTGAAAAAAAATCTGAGTTTGTACAATAAAATGCAATATTGTTCAATTTATTTCAAAATTACGTGAAATAAATAGGTAGTTGCAGTAGCATGAGTTCCGTAATTTATAATCCAATTGAGCCATCGCGAAATAATTCAAGAAACATGTGACACCTCTATTTGGATCAGTTTATTTTTATTATCTCTTATTTATTTAACATAGTTTATTATATCTCAGAGTACTTATAATATTAAAGCTAATTTGTCTTCTTCTTATTTACAAAATTATCAAAATTTTAGTATCATTTACTTATTGTAATTAATTGTATTACCTAAAAAGACCTTTCAATTCTCAAATATGTCCGTTCTAACTATTCTGTAAATGTTTTCAAAAATCTTATTCGAATACATATTTCATGTATATTGAAACTGTGTAAATAAGTGTAGTTGAATGAAACTAAATTAAGATTATTTGGATAAACGTCTATTTTAACACAACTGTACTATGATTTTACTAAAAACAACTATTAACAAGACTTGTATTTTGAGTTTTCGTGTCGGGCTTCTTATGTCGTGATGAGCGTGAATGGGGCTGATTCTCCACGGAAACGCTTCACTGATTCCAATCTTTGTTCTGTTTAGTCACCGATGTCGGCTATTTCAATTACAGGCTTTTACTGTGCCACGGTCAAATATACAATCTTTAACGTTCGCAAACAACACGTGGTTACGATTACGACTAACGCATCGAGAACGTCTATCACTAAACGCTGTCAGATGTGTAATTGTGTATATAAGTTGTAATCTTTTTTATTACAGTCATTTTTGCTAGCTAGAATTTTTGTGATCTGTGACCGAGATGATCATGTAATCTATTCCGAATAATCTGAATTATTATTTATCCGACGTATAGCTTGGCGAGCGTGTCATGAAATAAATCAAACCGGATTCGGATGCGTCGTCTACAGCGGGATGTAAAATCTCGCCTAAGCGACGCCCGAAATGAGAATTAGGATAGTTACTTAGAAGGACTCGCGCCCTCTCATCAAGCATACTGGCGACTAGCAAGGACTCTCAAGTCCGAAACTACCGCTACTATGCCTCCTCTCGTACGCCCTTCAGGCCAACCACCGGCTTTCGATGACGATGACAAGGCAGAGTTGCTGGCCGATGCACTGCAAGAGCAGTGCACCACCAGCACTCAATACGCGNAGAGCATCCGGGTGATGGAAGGCCGGCTATCCTCGACCCACGCTGGTTCTGGCCCAGCGGGGTATTCCGTAGGGTAACCCACTCTAACCGGCGCCATCTAGGCGGGCTTCGGACAGTCTGCCGACCGAGAGGGCTGGTGGTCGTGGCGCCGACGACCGCCAGTCCGGCGTCCCGAGGGGGAGGGTGATGGGAGAGATGTGCTCCGCACGAAACGCTTCACTTTCCCCCCTTTGCCTTGTCATGAGTTCTGTCTCATGCGAGGTTTGGACGTTGGTTGTTGAGCGACAGGAGGTTTTAGTCAGTTCGACTCTGACATACCCCGCCCAGTATCCCCAGAAAGGGGCGGAAGTCCGGCGATTTCCTTCTGACACCGTACCATTAACAATTCATTTACATTATGGTTCACGCATTTGGCATAATTTTGATGCGCCTTAAATCTAAACCAAGCGGTAAGCAAATCTGAATTTCATACAGAGAGCGGTAGACGACAGTTTTGATTTCAAATTTGTTACTAGAACATTTCAGCTGCTTCCGTGTCAATAGCGTCATGTCTTATCATTTAGCATGTTTTGGTGTCGGGTCTGCTGCTAATTTAATAAATCAATTGGCTTAATATGGTGTATCCACTGGTTCCTTCCAACACTATTGGCAATTGCTTTATAATACTCTCGTCTTAGCGTTAGTAAAAATTGATTTTTTTATAAAGTACTGAAAAATTCCGCTTTATTATTGATTAGCTAGTGAAAAAAGAAATGGTGCTAGGAAATTACTACATTGTTATTTGATTACTTGTTCACAATAACTATGATTTTGAATATCAGAACCTTATGATTAAGTTTTAGTTGTAACTCTGTTATTCGCCAGAGTAACGTCGATAATGCAATTTTCATTTACAAGTATTCCATGTAGATTCCTCAAAAGTACTTAAATTATTATTGAACGCAATATTTACAGAACCGGGAGGAGACGGTAGATGAAACAGGCGTAAAAAATTCAAGCTCCGTCCCTGGACATTTTTTCTTTCTTATTTGAATTGGTGCAGCAGAATCTCAAGTCCTTGCATAGAAATGTTAACCGCGGGATACCGCGGGTATTTTGTCGAAAAGATTCATTCTGCTAATTGGCGCTCCGCTCAAGTGGTCAGAGTATCTGGGATGATATATTATTATTATCCTTAATCGGTTTTCCGCCGCAAGAATAACTACTGCTTAGGCATCGTACACTAGATTAAAATTAACTTAATACCAAACTATAATCAATTAAATATACTGAATATTGAAATATTCCGTTTGAACTAAATAATGTTTGACTCTTGTTGGTTTTTCACTACGTGAATCGCATTTGTGACATGAACAATTCCAGGAGCATAGTCAAACCGCTGCCTACTGTACTACTGTATGAAGTGAATGAATATTTTCACGAATTTTCATGAGTTGCAGAAAAAATCGTATTGTTACATAAGGATTCAGGACTAGGTAATTTCTTCAGAATGTCCCTTACGTCGGATTGAATTCAAGTCAAGGCTAAACTACAAACCGAAGTATATTCTATGAAGAGTTTTATTAAGTTTCAAATGTTACAAATGTTTCTTTAGTCAGTGAACATATCAATATTTTAACTTATTGTAAAAATAATAATAATATAATAATGAAATGGAGCAGCAACATGAAATCAAAAATTAATGAAAATTGTAGTTTCATATCTCGTCATATCAATCAATTTCGACAACTTCATATAAGTGGGTTTTGTTGCCCTACTGTGTTATATCGCACAGATAGATCAGCATTATCTGGGTTTCATTATCAACAATATGCGATAGTAAATTGCATCGCACAAAGGGTTTTTTCATTTGTTTCTGGTTAAATTCGGGAATATTAACATTTTTTTTATTGCTTAGATGGGTGGACGAGCTCACAGCCCACCTGGTGTTAAGTGGTTACTGGAGCCCATAGACATCTATAACGGAAATGCGCCACCCACCTTAAAATATAAGTTCTAAGGTCTCAGTATAGTTACGACTGCCCCGCCCACCCTTCAAACAGAAACGCATTACTGCTTCACGGCAGAAATAGGCAGGGTGGTGGTACCTACCCGTGCGGACTCACAAGAGGTCCTACCACCAGTAAAATTTTAAAATAACATACATGTATGTACTATCAAACTACCTTTACGGCTTAATCTCGGATTTATCAACCAGTCCATATAATTTAAGATTAAAGGCTCTAAGTTGGTGCATTACATGAAAACGGCTGAAGAGATTAAGCAACATTTTTACAATGTTCATAATATTTCAGATTTATAAGGAAAGAATACCCAAAAAATTTACGACACGGTCAAAAAAACTAATTGAAATGATAGAGCAACGTTTTTGTTATCAATTAGCTATTTTCTAATAAAAACGAAGTCTGTGCACATTAAAGAGATCTAATTAAATGTTTGATAGTTTCGAAACAAATATTGATAAAGTATTTTCTGAACCAACTATATTTTTCCGACCGATAAGGCGAATCCCAAGCAAATTTAACAACGGTTAGCCAAAAATACTTAATTTAATTAATAGGTGGGTTTAATTAATAAATTTATTGATTAAGAAAATTTTCTATTTTAAATAAAAACAATGAATTATTTTTGGATTTTCTTCATTTTTTTAATGTTTAATTCTCTTTAATTTGGTCACCTGCGACTTAAATAAAATTAATACGAGACTAAATAGTCAAAGTTTCTTTTGGTTGTTTTTATACATTTTTGTAAAAAGTTATTCAAATACAAAGTGAAATATTGTAGTATTTAAATATAACAGAAAAATACTTACATGACTTTCTGAATCGATTCGGTAAACAAAAAAATAAATTAATACTTCTGTCACAGCACTGTACTGTCTTTACAACAATGTGAAACTAAAGTAGTTAATGAAAATACGGACTCGTGAACTTAAATAAAATTATTCTAATATTTAAGTCACGATTAATGTCGCCTGCCGCAGCCGACTGTTGCGCGTTTTTGATATCGTTTGATTAAACAATTTAAACAAGCCGCCTCGAAAAGCAAGTTCTGCTTTGCGATCGAAGCGACAGCCTCGTCAAAATGGTGAAACTTTAATATTCAAGCGCCATCTAGTAACAAGCAGTTGTGGCAAAAAAACGTAAAGTGACTTTTAAATTTAGTAAAAGATTTAATTTTAAGCACGAATAAAAATAAATAAGATTATATAAACGGGCTAGTATAATGGACAAAAACAGCTATGTACAATAAAATCTCTGCTGTGTGTAGGCCAATTTTCAAAATCAATATAACAATTGAATGAATTCCGTTTTTAAGTGAGCATTTCTTTAGCGCCGTTGTAATTCGAAACTTGTAGGTTTTCTTCGCACCACGTATGAATTTCATGTTTTTTTTCTAAATTTCAAAATCAAAAGAAGAAAATAAAATGAATAGACAAACGAATTCTAATCATACGGTATCACTGATTATAGTCGAATTTCGATCAGTGAGCTATTTATTAGGTAGATTTTCAACTGTATGAAGCTGCTTCAATAACATCCAGGATTCAGTCACCGTCGCCTAACGCGGCGACTGCATGCTGGTCTAACATGCAGATATAGACAGTCAGTCAAAAATTAAAGTGAAATAAAATTCGACTAACAATAGTACCAGATATTTAGTGAGCTTTGGAACTATTGTTGATCAAAGAAAATTGATTTACTATTCATCTTTTTTAAGAAAAATCCTGTAATTCTGCTTCAAAACACTTTGGGTGCTGGTCACAAGGAAATAATAAACCCATTGAATTTCTCACCGGATCTTCTCAAGGGAAGAATAATAACTATTTCCAACCTCGTGTGTTTGGCGGATGACGGTATTCATGTTGCATTTCTGATGACTATGTCACTATGTAACTGTTTCACGTCAGTTAGCAAGCAAAATAAGAATGTGCTACGATGGTACCAACAGAATTATTTGTCAGTTGCCCAAAAATTAACTTTTTTTTTTGTAAAATTACCTTTTTTTTATTGCTTAGACGGGTGGACGAGCTCACAGCCCACCTGGTGTTAAGTGGTTACTGGAGCCCATAGAAATCCACAACGTAAATGCGCCACCCACCTTGAGATAAGTTCTAAGGTCTCAGTATAGTTACAACGGCTGCCCCACCATTCAAACCGAAACGCATTACTGCTTTACGGCAGAAATACACAGGGCGGTGGTACCCACCCGCGCGGACTCACAAGAGGTCCTACCACCAGTAATTACGCAAATTATAATTTTGCGGGTTTGATTTTTATTACACAATGTTATTCCTTCACCGTGCCTTGCCTTTGCACTTGCCTAATATCTTATGCAAGTACATCTGGATCTATCCTTTCGAGTTAAATCTACAAAAGACACCACTTCAATAAGTATGTGAGATCATAGCCTCGCTTGAATTGGGTACATTGAGCGTGGTTAATGGATATTGCAACACCTTATCTAAAGTACCTAATGAGGGCCTGAGCTGATATTTACCCAAAACTTTGACCCTTTTGTATTATTATCCTCACGACGAATATATACATCAAAAAAATTGAGGAAAAAGTTTCTGTTATCTAAATGTACGAATTTGTGATAAAATTGTAATTTGTTAAAGAGCAATGACTGTTAAGCCTGTGACTATGGTACCTAACAACAGTTGCGGGATTGTAAGTTCTCAAAGGTGGATATTAAATTTGGCAGGAACGCGAGGAGTCGGGTCGTGTGAATTTTAAATATGTTAATTTAGTGTCTTCAAATTTAAATGTTTTATATTGATTTAACATTTTGTGTCCAGCACCGTAATTTTTCTGTTTCATTCAACTAGATTTCACGCAATGTATCTCAATTTATTACTACCTATTACAGATAGGTTATCTTCCTTTCATAGCGCTCCATTGTAGGTATGTATTTTTTTCTTTTCTTCTGCTTTGAAAATTCTTTTTTTTAAATATAACTTCATGGATACTTCGAAAATTCGAGTGATTTTTCAACACCAGTTTTTTTGTTGTTGTTTGAAAGATTACTGGTGGCCTGGTGGCCTTTCCAGTTTTACCAGGGCAGGTGACCGAGCAAGGGCTCAGCTAGGAGGGGTGGGATTTGCTAACAGCTACCCGAGCGCCTCCAAAGGAGACCTAACAACTCAAGAGTAGCTGCTTCGCGAATGAATCTACTACCGAATCGGAATCGTGATCCGCTGAGAAGATCCGGCGAGAGACTCAGCGGGCTGATGTTTAGGTTAGGTAATATGAGTTCCTACGCGGAACCAACGCTGCAGCAGCTCGCAATATGAATGTTGCGTCTGGAGAGGGGACTGCTTATGAACGCACCGTGCGATTTTGGTTTAAAAGCTTTCGTGATGGAAATTTTCAACATATTTAATAGAATAGAAGAACGAACCACATGGAAGACCGCCCACACATGTGAATAAGAATGAATTAAAAGAGATGGAAAGCCGATCCGAGCCAAACTACCCAGGAATTAGCGGCATGGTTTAACGTTACCTTACCAACAATATTGACTCAATTGCGTCAAAACAAGAAAATAAAAAAAATGAAGAACGGGTGCGTCATGATTTGACTGATTTGCAGAAAGAAACTTGTTGAATCGATACAGAAATGAATAAAAATTTGATCGAATTGTTACATGTGATGAAAAGTGGATTGTTTACGATAACCGTAAGCGAAAAATGCAATGGTCGATCTCAGGTCAAACACCGCAACAGTGTCCTAAAGCAAAGCTTAGGCAATAATAAGGTAATGGTAACTGTTTGGTGGTCTCAGCATGATGTTATTCACTATAGCTTTTTCCGATCTGGTCAAGCAATAACGGCAGATGTCTACTGTGTCGAACTTCGAACAATGACAGCAAAACTTGCAGTGAAACAGCCCCGACTCATGAATCGATTTTCACCAAGTGTTCAATGATAAGGCGAGACCTCACATAGCACGAGAAACCGTTTTAACTCTACAGGGACTGCAATTAGAAACCATTCGTCACCCTCCGTATTCGCCAGACCTTGCTCCAACGGACTACCATTTTTTAGTGATTTGGACAATTTTCTACGTGATCTGTTTTCTTCCCATGCTTCCCTCCTCGCGTCGTTTTCCTCATTACTGAGGGTCGTGACTCCCCCGCTGCATCAGTTTCTCCCGTACGATTTCCCTCCATCTGCTGCGATCCTTAACTTCATGAAGGGCATTGTGGAAGTTGATGTTTAGAGAAGATCGTATTTGGTCCGACCATCTCGTGGGACTGCGTCCTCTGGGACGTTTGCCATCTGCCTTTCCTGTCACCATCAGCTGTTCCAGATTGTTACCCTCTTTACGAGCAATATATCCGAATAATTCCAGCACCCTACGAAGGCCTATAGTGGAAAGTCTGGTTTTGATATGAAGCTTAAAATAATAATGGTAGATATTTTGATTAAATAAATATGTTAAATGAAGAAAAAAAAACAATTTGAATTTTCAATTACAAATCGGAAACTTCATACTTTAACCCCTAATATGTGTATTTATAGAATAACATTAAATGAAGATTGTTATGCTTGACAATGACAATAACGGCAACACAAGAAGCCAAGCGCTGTCATACTGAAAAACAAGTTGCAATATAAAAAGCGCTTGAACTATTTTTACTGTTACTCGAATGTTGAAATTGACTAAAGTTTCCATCGACTTTAAGATTTAATTTCACTGTATTAAGTAGAAATGTAATGTTATATTTGGTAACGGTAAAAACATAAATAAGAATAGCTACATATTATTAATTTTGATGATTATTTGAGGTTGTGATTGCCGTACGAAAATAATAATTTTTATTGTGATTAAGTTTTGAATATGTCTAAGCTGTTAATTTTAAATCAGAATTGTCTTTACGTACTCATATTCTGCATACTTTTTCGTAAAATCAAGGCATATTAACATCTAAACACAAAGTCCTTGAGGATGTTATGGCATAATAAGCATATTGAAAAGCGAAATTGCTTGTGCCTAATATGTCCGCGGAGCATCTAGCGTATAATATATGCACATGGAACTTTGAAAACGATGTTGGTTACTAATGAAGAATCAAATTAGATTCGTCAATGTTGCCATATGTGTGACCTGAAAATAGTTACTCTCTGCATTTTTTAAACAATAAAACTAAAACTGCAATTTCTGTCATTATAATTTATTTTCTTATAGACTAAGATGAATGAATACATTTTTCTTTTTAGTGCATCCCACACATACATACACAAAATACATAATGTATGACTTAACTTAATTACGTGCAAAAGATATCTTGTGTGTTCCTATGTTTTAATTAAATCCTTTTTTTATATAGAAACAAATAATAAAAGTATTGGTAAATCAAGATTTCATGTAAATAACAATTCATGATAATATGACTTTATAAGTGCCAAAATTAAGATGCACCGCGGGGTGATTCAGAACCAGGCTCTCGACAAAAATTACAGGCGACAATCTTGATAGAATACCAAACATGATAGTAAAAAACATTCGAAATTTTATATATGTACTAACGGCCTGGCCACGGGGATCGGCGGTGCGAACAGCGAAGCGGTGGGCGAGGCGACCATTCGCGCAACACCGTTTGCAGGCCACGGGTACTCACGTTCGCCGCCGCGACTAGTAAGGAAGTCCGACAGCGAAATGTCTATATCGAAATTATCTCGATATTGCTTACAAATTAATAGTTTTTTGGTTCAGGACCTATTATTTGGAAAAGATTGTGAAGTACATGATTTGAATAAGAATCGGAGTATACCTATAGATGGAGAATTCCACAAGAAGTACGAGAAATACTTTGGGTGGCTAGACTTCCAAATAGCTGGTCTAGCTAGTATTTCAGCTATTTTATTTTTTTATTGCTTAGATGGGTGGACGAGCTCACAGCCCACCTTGTGTTAAGTGGTTACTGGAGCCCATAGACATCCACAACGTAAATGCGCCACCCACCTTGAGATATAAGTTCTAAGGTCTCAAGTATAGTTATAATGGCTGCCTCACCCTTCAAACCGAAACGCATTACTACTTCACGGCAGAAATAGGCAGGGTGGTAGTACCCACCCGTGTAGACTCACAAGAGGTCCTACCACCAGTAATTACGCAAATTATTATTTTGAAGATTTCATTTTTATCACACGATGTTATTCCTTCACCGTGGAAATCAATCGTGAACGTTGAGTGTTGTTGAGTACGTATTTCATTACAAAAATTGGTACCCGCCTGATATTCGAACACCGGTGCATCGCTCAACACGATTGCACCGGACGTCCGTTAGGCCACGACGACTTTAAAAATATAAAATAAAAAATAAATAAAAAATATAAAAATTTCGGCGTTAATTTTTCGCGGCGAAAACAACTAAACTCATTTAATCACTGCACTATTCGCCGCGACTACCGCTCGACTCCGTGGCTCGCGCCGTCCGTATTCATGCATTTGTTTTGCTCGCCCGCCGCATCGCGCGATTCGCTCGGTACATTTCGCCGGTCGCTTCGCCGGTCGCCGGTGCGCGTGGCTTGTTAGGTACATTTCTATGCGCTTGTTTTAGTCGCTAGACGCTTCGCCGTTCGCACCGCGCGAATATTCGCATCGGCGAATGTCCCGTGGCCAGGCTGTAAGTCTTTGCATTATTCACAATTAAAATTGAAAAGCATAATCTAGTTCATGAAAAAGTATCTAAGCTTGGTTTAGTAAATGAATATCTTGATGCGATTAGCTCGCTTCGAGAACGGTCTCTTTACACAATGTTTGAATAGATATTTAGTAAAAATATTCTAAATTTCATTTAAATTAGGCGATGTATTTAAATTATTTCAAGGAATCGTCGCCTATGTCACATCTCGTGGGTGCACCCCTTTCTTTTTTAGGAGATTCTTTGCTCGCCTCTGTAACAATAGCACATAAAACAAATTCAATTAAACTTTGAAACCGTTGTGTCCTTTGAATAAGGAGTGTTATAGAAAAAAATTACCGTAACCTTCTCCGATTGATGTAGATTTTAACGTATTGTTATCTGCAGTTGGTATTTTTATTCCTTGCTTCAGAACCATCGTGCCGTCCTGAAAAAAGGATCATTACATTATACATGAGATAATTAATAGGTTACTTTTTATTAGTTAAGTTTGGCTGATGAACCCACTGCCCATTTGATGTTCGGCGGGCTTATATACATTGAAACGAAAAGTTGTTTACCCATCTTGAGGCACGAAATTTAAGTTTCATTTGCTTTAATTAGTTCAACGGCTGTCCCGTATTCAAGTCGGAACGCTCGATTGCAAAGATACGGTGGTGGTAGTACCAATTCATGGGTTTTCCTAACTCGTTTGTCCCTACAACTGCTGCCGGTCATCGTTCTCGTCGAACCCGTCGCTTGCGACGAAGGACTCGACGGGTAAATTAACTCTCAGACACAGCCCAATGAGTTTCTCGCCGGATCTTCTCAGTGGGTCGCGTTTCCGATCCGGTGGTAGATTCTGCGAAGCACGGCGCTTGCTAGGGTTCGTGTTAGCAACGTCATCAGGTTTGAGCCCCGTGAGCTCACCTACTAGTTAAGGCGACGCTGATATAGCCTTTCAAGGCTATCAGCTTAGGTAGAAAAAAAAAAAGAACTGGTGCATAAGAAATAAATTAAGCCAGATGAAGCTAACGCCCTCTGGTGTTGAGAAATTATATGAGGATGCTTCTACAAAGATAATTAGCAGATTCATAATGATTCCGAATAATAAACTCGTTTTACCTTCATTTCGACGAGCCCCTTCTTGGCCATGGCTTCCACTTCTGCTTTCGTCATAACTATCTTCTGTACTTTGACTAACTTCTTTCCTATTTGCATTTCACAGACTTCGCCGCTACCCACTGTTACAAATAAATTAATTTTTGTAAACCGTTACAGGGGAGGTCAATTACAAAAAAAAAACAACACACTCACATCTCGTGTTTGCCAGTAGAGGTAATGGCTTTACTCCTGGCGGAAGTGCCTTGATTGGTACCTGTCAAAAGTAATTATTATTTCTTTATTCAGGACAAACGGAAGTAATAATAAATAGAAAGTAGATTTTATGTGGACAAGTTTTCAAACTTCAGATTGTTGCTCACATTAATTGAACAAAAAAAAAGCAGAAAAAATAATATACATCTAAAATATCTTTAGGAACCTTCTTTAGTGTTTGTCCTGTCGTAGGAGAGACCAAAACTCCACCCGGTGCGTTTTGATCAGAGTTCGGCTTGCCTGATTCCTGAATTGTGAGAAATACACGTTAGATTATATTTCATACGCCATTAGACTAAAAAGCAGTCACCTTGAAGAAAGATGTTACTAATTTTTTTTTAACATTAGAAATAACCATCTATAGCTTTATCTCTAAAATATACAAATGTGTGATGCAATGATAAAGCGTCGTCCACAATACGTACACGACAGTTTCATATTAATTCCTTTTTTTTGAAGTTATACTTCTTTAGGCGCGTTATGAAAAATTGATGAGAGTGAAATTTTACGATGCGCGCGCACCGTGATACAAAATTAACAGAAATGAAGTTGCCCACTAAAGAAAAAATGCTACCAACAAAACAGAAATGGAACCTCTGTTAGTGGCGCATGTTGGCACGCACGCCGTCGTTTGCAATTTAACGAAAATATTGAATACACTGTAATTGAGTTAATTACTTACACTGTCCGTTAGGTCAGATTTGCTTCCATCCTCTTTTTCTGATGTTACTTTATCAAGTTTGCTGCTATCACTATCTTTTTGAGATTTTTCCAAATTTACTTGTTCAATTTTGGTTTCTGCTTTATCTTCCTTCTTGATTTTAGGGGGCCTATAAATCATTGGTCTCTATATTATTTTGGTTTAACTAAAGAAATGGTGACAATTTTATACATCTGAAGTTCGTAGCTCTATTTTAATTTCGGTTCCACAGTCGTAGCTTCTCATCAGAAACAAAAAGACACAGTTAAAAGATATGCCGTAATTCAATTGCATTTTATACGAATTTAAGTCTTTATTGTTGTTTGTTTTTCTTTGCTTCTACTACCCACTATAACTTTTAATTATATGGGTATCTGTATATAGTCACGTTACGAATGGCTAATAAAGGCGTTATTAACTCCTTAAAAAAAAGAAGCATTCAATACATTATCTTACAAAGTGTTTAGAGTTGGAGATAAATGAAGACTTACTGGTGGTAGGACCCCTTGTGAGTCCGTACGGGTAGGTACCACCGCCCCGCCTATTTCTGCCGTGAAGCAGTAATGCGTTGCGGTTTGAAGGGTGGGGGAGCCGTTATAACTATACTCGAGACTTTAGAAGTTATATCTCAAGGTGGGTGGCGCATTTACGTTGTAGATGTCTATGGGCTCCAGTAACCACTTAACACCAGGTGGGCTGTGAGCTCGTCCACCCATCTAAGCAATAAAAAATAAAAAACTTACAATTTTGAGTCTTTACGTGGTCTTCCCCTTTTCCTGGGCGGCGTGGGTGTCGGTTCAGAAGACGTTTGAGCTTGTTTTGCGACTACTACTGGCTTGACACTGGCTCTTCGTTGCTTCATACGGGTCTAAAATGTGTAACAATTTTTTAAGTACCTAGTTTTCCAAGAGAATTTTTTTTGGAGTCCTAGACAATATATTTCACCCACGTGAAAATACATTGTATTCAATTGTAACACTCCACATGATGTCAGTTTAGTAAAATGTATACAAGCGGTCCATTGATTGTTATGCTAAATAAAATTTGGCATAAGTGAAGTTTGAGCCCCGCAAGCTCACCTACAAACGTTAGGGCGAAGCTGAAATAGCCTCTCAAGGCTATCAGCATAGGTAGGATAAAAAAAAAACCATTAATCTTAAACGTGTTAACTTTAATTTAACACATATTTTGGTAGTGATCACAAAATTTAGCTGGAAACACGTCTATTATTTATGTACACTATTTTAATAAATATAAATTAATATTAATTAATGTATACATGCTTTCAGTATTATAAGACGTGTATTTATTTGCCATATTAGCCAATAATCTAAGAGCTAATAAATCAAATGATTATGTTGTCGGTATGTTGTTAATGCAAGTTAAAGATCATACCTCGGGAGGTATCTCAGTTTCCTTGAACTCGTTATCATCGGAATCATCATTGTCAGAATCTTCATTAGAAAAGTCTGAATTTTGAGAACTGTAACATAAACATATTATTGAAGTCTTGGTCCTTAATAACGAACAAGTTAGGTAGGACATTCTTAATGAATATGAATGAATCTTTTGTAGGTTTGGTTTGGTAGTGTCGTTTATCAGATGAAATAGAATATTTGGCACTCTGAGCTCGATGGGGTTTCCCTTCTTCCTCTCAGGAGGCGCCGGAGTCCGACATAACCCGGTTCGTTACCCCCGACCGGGTATCCGTAAATGGATTCCCCAGCGTTAAAAAAAAAAAAAAAAGGTGAAGTTGCCGGCTTATACTATATTAAGAGCAAGCTTTTAATGAATTATAAGTACGTAAAAATATCGAACGCGATTATATGATTATGAGAGGAACTTCAAGCGATTATCGCCATTACAGTTTGTAAAATGGTAAAATCTGTAAAACGGATAATGGCGAATGTAGGAACGATACCTACTCAGTACTCGTATTGTAAAATACAAAATCGCTTGCGCTCAGTCGCAGCGACTTGTCGAGCCACGATCTGACGGCGAACGCACGCGCAATTTCAACTCGGCCGCCACGTCTCAATATCACGCGATCTCATGTTTAAGTTTTATTTTTGTGCAACCGAAATTTTCTGTTTTTTTGTTTGTTATAACATTTAAATAAACTATTGTGAAGTGAAAATACTTTAATTCGAACTATAAAGAACTTGTGAACTTCAGCGAAGATATCTTCGTATTCGTGACGTTTACGTACACTTAACAAAAATATTTTCTTCTGTTATTCTTGTTTACTTATATTTGATAATCTAAGTATTAATCCAACCCTGTATAAATATTAGTATATTTATATACGTACTTATCTCGGATCATTTTAGCGTAGTCTCTGATTTTAGAGGGTCGAGCTGATCGTCGGACGGGTCCGTCTTCACGTTTTTCACTTGTGCCATTTTTAGATCCAGTCTGAAATCATTTTATAAAGTACGAACATAAAGTTTCATCGTAAAAATACGACCCTTGTAATATACACATTACATGCATTTTTAGCAAACGTTTTTATTAATATGTACCTTATCTTTAATCACCTCTTTTACTTCCTTCTCATCTTTAGCATTCGAGTTATTTTTTATATCCTTGGCTTCCTTTGGTTCTTTGTTTTCTTTTGTCAAAGCGCGTTTCTCTTGGATTTTCTTATCGATCAGAGTCAATTTAGATTGCACCAGTTGAGGTTTCTTTTCATCGGCCGGTCTGTAGTATGAAAATGAGATTTAATTCATATTCATTCGAACAGTGAAGTTCATGATTAATAAAAAAAAAAACAAGAATGTGCTGCGAATTGCGGGATTCAGATTCTCTTAATACTGACAATAACAGATTTTATGTCCTTCGAAAATATGTAAAATGTGTTAATGTGTTAAAAGTCTACACGCTTGTATTATATAAAAAAACAGGAAATACTGTCAAAGTCAGATAAAAATTTCAGGGCTTAATATTTTTACACATCATAATTATGGCAATGTTTACGTCCAAATGAAAAAGTGATCCAGAAATATTTCCAATTAATCCAATACTACAATTGTTTACCTCGTTTTTGGAGTTGAAGTGTGAATTTGCGGTCGTCTACTCCTTAAAGATTCTAAGGGTTTCGTTGATGTTTTAAATGGTTCTGATCTCGTGTTTGTCTGTGTGGACAAAAAATGTCACGATATTTTAAAGTTTTTATTAAAATCAGTGCAACGGTCTGGGAAACCCTGTGCTGGGTAGCACAGAGAGAAGTAAATTAGATTAGTGACTTGGATATCGTAAAACACATACCCGTTTAAGATCTTGTAATTCCTTTTCCAGTAATCGTAGTGATTTGTCACTGGCGCCTACGGGCGTACTGCTTTCAACTTTGTTATTGTTATTTGGTTTATCCTTTTTTTCTTGAGCTGAAAAGTATTCATTGAACATTTTTTTATAGTTGTTTGTTATTAATTTATATCTGTTTTTTTTCGATTGTCTTATGTAGTTCGAACGCAAAGAATTGTCATTTACATTAAGTACATTGATAATTAGTTTCATAGTAAAAAACACGTGAAAAATTGAATTTAACATTATTGAACCCAAGTCACGTTACGTGTCCCTTTAATTGCTTGTATGAAAAAATATTAGGAGATATTTTTAAAAAAATCCTATAAACTTGTTCTGACAAGTTATTGTCTAGATAATTATAATAATAATAATAAATTTTTATTTCAGAATTAAATTCCATATGAAGTGTTAGTAATACAAAATCTTGAAGTGTTAGTAATACAAAATTAAATAATGTTAAGTATTTTTGCTGTTTCGTTGTTGGAGTCTATGTCGATTAAAAGTTGGGTTGAACAATTTCGTGTGACGCGGTTGGTGTTAGGGCAACTTAGCAAATCAACAAATATATCTTCTGCTTATTATAGGTGCATTGTTCCCTATAATCGTTACAAGCAATCTTCTTAAGTCATTCATATATGGCTTATTTAGTTTGAGTATAGTTAATGCAATGTACTCACGAGCGTCTATCTTTGACTGTGTTTTTCTCTTTACTTCTTCCGCCTTGCGAAGTATTCTCGCCGTCTGAAATTATATGTTATAGAGAATTTATTTATATTAATTATATACAAGTATTTGACGTTAAGTAGTTACGGCAGCCCATAGATATCACAAAGTTATTGGAGTTATTCAGCTGAGACATGAGATTGAAGTCTCAATCAAACAGTGCGATGACGTGTGACCTTCAAACTTGACAGTCGATCAACGACTTACACTTTTATTTCTATAACGTAACATCCTAAATAGGTACTTTTTATAAAATGACAATTGCTTCTACAAGAAAAATTCGCCTTTAGGTTAAAATAAACTTTCAATTATTTTCAGTCATAAAATCAATTTTAAATTGACGTTCCAAGTAATATAATTTTTTTAATACATTGTTTTAATCACACAGGAATACAAATAATCTACTTGTTACTTATGACGACGCTTGAAGCTGAAAGTAAGTATTATACTTTTTGATGAAGCTTGTTGCTGATAATAATATGTACTTTTATGTTATTAAACTACCTTAAAAATTTATATCATAGTCTATTGACATTACATTACTCAATATACAAAGTTTTTCGTTTTATATATATGTATGGGTGATGATATGATTACTATCAATTTCATCTTAATGATGTATTAAATGAGGTCGTGACATCCGTGTAACCGCTATTTAGCTCCTCTAATGTCGGAAAGAAAACAAAAAAATCCCAAAGTGCACATTGATTGATTCGAAATAGTTTTTACACGCTTTATATTAGCTACACTTGTATGTATGTTTGGATGTTTGTAACTGACTCTTTTAGACGCGATTTTGACCCACTTTAAACGGCCAGATTTCATTCAAACTTTGTAGATTTATCGAGGACCGATAATAATACACTAATTTGATAAAAGTATTCCATTATTCAATTTGCAAAATAGGATTTTTGCCAATTTATATATTTTGTTTTTTATAGTCGATAAGGCAGAAATTGATGTAAAAGTACTTAATAGTTTTAAAAATACGCTTTTATAGAAAAGTTAACTAAAAAATAGAAAATAAATTTTAATAAATTTAAATTGAAAATAGTGTAAAAAAAAATTAATTAAAAAAAAAGCGTAGGGTGCTTTTTAAGATATTATTGAAATAATAATTTTTCTACTCATATCTGTTAGAAAAATATTTATAACTAATAACACCATGCACCCCACGCTTTTTTTTATAATAAAATATATTTTACACTATTTTCAACTTAAATTTATTTTCTTTCTTTTTTGTTGAATTTTATATAAAGCGTGTTTTTTTTAGTTTTTTTAAAACTATTATTTTTTAATGTTATTTTAACAAAAATATTGAACATCGTGGTTTTTTGTTATCAAGATAAAGTTCCAAACTCTTACTTGGCTTTCACATTTTTCAGTAGATTGCTCGTTTAACTTCAATGTGACTGGCTCCGCGGAAGGCGGGCTGGGTTGCTTCTCAGACAATTCATCTTTAATAGGACCAGTTACAGGATCCACTCTGGACATGTCTGTGAAAGTCATCTCTATTTCTGAATCTGTAACAAGTTCATTTTTATTTTATAGGCAGCACGAAACGTCAACATTCACGTTAATAGATACAACGAGAGTTACTTTGTAGCACCGCTCTCTACGTCATCTTGAGCACTGGACTTCAAGCTAAAATAATGAAAACAGGGTACATGGAATTCATTATTATATATTATGACTTTAAATTTATTAAATTAAGTTCATATTCCCATTATGCAATCTTGGTTTTCATGTTGGTTTTGGCAAAGTTCATTTTTTCATACCTACAAATTGTCGCTTTCGTCTTTATAGATCAAAATTGCTTATTAAGATAGTAGTAATATTTTCTTTTTTTTTTATTGCGTAAATGGGTGGACGAGCTCACAGCCCACCTGGTGTGTTAGTGATTACTGGAGCCCATAGACATCTGCAACGTAAATGCGCCACACACCTTGAGATATAAGTTCTAAGGTCTCAGTATGGTTATAACGGCTGCTCCACCCTTCAAACCGAAAGGTATTAGTGCTCCACGGCAGAAATAAGCAGGGCGGTGGTACCTACCCGTGCGAACTCACAAGAGGTCTTACCACCAGTAAAAAGGATAATATGTATAGGATTAGGACAAAAGCCTCGGGGATGATCTTCCGACAAGCGGGTAATGTTGCTCGGTGGACAGACGATCCAAATGTCCTTGTGAATTTGTTGTGCTTGTATGAGGCATGTTTGAAGATGACGCTAACGCCTATAAATGTTTATTTCGTATTTTTTTAAACATTTTGTGTAGGTTTTTTGAATTGCATATTTCAAATAAATATTAGAACATCACTACATAGTATAAAACAAAGTCGCTCTCTCTGTCCCTATGTATGCTTAAATCTTTACAACTACACAACGGATTTTGATGCGGTTTTTTTAAATAGATTGTGTGATTTTATGTGTAAGAGGAAGGTTTTATATGTATAATAACATCCATTAAATAGTGGAGAAATCAATAATAAATTACAGTTTCCGAAGCGAAGCGAGGGCGGGTCGCTAATAATTTTATATTGAGCTACAGTGCAGACAGGCATACTATTTCGGTTTCAGCAAAATAAAATGAGTAATTTGTTAGTTAAGATCCATTACCTTCAGAGTTGTGTTCTGTGTTGTCCACAGTGACTCCCGGATCGGCCTCACCTTTGTAGGTATCAAGCTGAAATATATTTAAAAAAAATTAAACATTTTATGAATGTTGAAACTCAACATTGTAACTTTAGTTAAAGTCAAATTACCATAAAATTCTCAGCTTTCTTAATTTCCACGACCATTTCACCGTTCTCCTCGGTCACTGTAATCAAATTATAAAGATCTTAAATCAACGAATTATTTTACTGACCGCAATAATTAATTAAACAACTTTATGTGTTTATCATCTTTTTTTTTGGTAGATTATAAATTACGTACAATTTATAGGGTTGTCATCGTCTTCTTCTTCTGCATCTTCTGCGTCCATTTCAATTGAAGAATCGTCTTGCCCAACCTGTTAATGATAAAATTACTACATATCTTTTATATTACTATTATATCTAATCCATAGTTATACTTTTATTATTTTAAGTCATCACGCTATAATTCATTAAAGCATTAAATTACCTCACTAATGATTTCTTCATCGTGCACCGTTGCCACGTGGTTATCAAGTTTTTCTCTTTCGGTGAATATTAATTCACAATAGTCACACATGAATTCTAATCCTGAAATACAATAATATATTCTCATTATAGACGTAGGGCATCATGATTTGTATTTGGAACAGTTGGGATGTTTAATTAGAATTTTGAACTTATTGGTGCTTAAAATAAACGCAATTTTTCAAAATTTATAGCACTAGATATGCGAGTGAGCTGATGGCTTATCCAGTGTAGAGTGTAATCAGGAGCTCAGAAATATCACGACATAATTGTCGTCTAATGTGGGTCCTCGAGACACGAGTTCGAAGTTTTACATGTACATTGAATTTTCCTTCAAACAGGAACACACGATTATTTTAGAGCCAAAAGGCAGGACTACCCCAGACTGACAACTGCGCGTGCGGGAATTCAATACGACCTACCAGTACAATTACGAGTGGTACTTTTTAGGTGTTTATTTTAACACTTGTTAATTTCAAATTGAACCAATGATGGAATGGAAGAAATTAAAGGATTTGCTATCCGAGCTTCACGTAAACTTTTTTGAAAATTTCGTCTTCTCGCATTAAAACTGTATAATCTCAAAACTAACTAATTATACAAGAGAGTGTTTTAAAGGTTTAACATGTTATACTTTAATATCAATCATCTTTGCAACATTTATTTTTTACCAGTGACATTATCTGTTTATTATAGTAAGATAAAATTAAGTTTTAATTTTGTTAATAGTAGTCAAAACAGAGGTAAACTAAAAAAAAAAACTAAAACTAAACTCTTTTGACAGTATTTATGAGAATAATACTGGTGATAGATACCGAATGATTCCGCATATTAACTCAATTTCGAATAATTTAGGAAATTGTACATACACAAAAGACGATTATATACTTTATTCGAGGTTTTTGGGTTTGAATAGTTAATAATAAATGAGCGCGTAATCTATTTTTTTTATTGCCCTTGTAGGCAGACGAGCACACAGTCCACCTGATGGTGAGTGGTTACCGTCGCCCATGGACTTCAGGAATACCAGGGGCAGAGCCAAGCCGCTGCCTACCGCTTAATACTCTCCACAAGCCTCGTTTGAAGAAGGACATGTCATAGCGCATCTCACCGTTGACGTGCGACTTGATGTGCGCAGTGACGGCGTCGACGTCGTCGAACTTCTCCTGGCAGAGCGGACAGATGAGGTTCTGCGTGGCGTGTATGGCGGAGTGGTAGATGAGGTCGTCCTGCGTCGAGAACGCGTCGTCGCACTGCTCGCAGCGGAACTGCTCCTCGGGCTCGGCGCGGCTCGCGCTCTGCGACGCGTGCTTCGCGCGCAGGTGTCTGCAACCCACTCAATCCTTCACAATCCATATGCTCTAAGAGCCGTAGGAGATCGACTTTCACCGATCTGATAGCCAGATGTGAAATATATTTTATAAACAAATATGCCTATATTTACTTGCCTCTCTAAAAGTGCTCATGGCTATGTGTAATTAAATTAACTTTAATCGATTTTGTTATCACTTTCATTCTTTTGACGTCCAAATGAATTTTATTTCACTGTTAGTTTTTAACACACAGAATATGCCTAGGTAAGCTTGCCTATTCATTTCTGTGTATGGTTACCTGGCAAGCAGATGTGAACAGGTAAGTCAATGACTCCATCGATTTGCTGACTTATCGAGAGTTACATCAAATTTTAGATTATTTTATCACAAAATCAGCCATATAGACTTGCCTGCAAAAAATCATACTTAAAGTACTATTGCCTAGCTAAAAACTTTTAGAGTTTTAGCCATTTGATAAGTGCGAGAGAGAAGGTAGAGAGTCCGAAGTTCGTGTGGTAGAACAGGACACAACATAGCAGCTGCACGCTACCTGATATATTGATTCGGAGTTATAGTTACGATTTTTAAAATTCAGATATAAATGTAAACAATAATAACTTTATTTTATGGTTATATTGATATTTTCAAATTTCCAATCATCACGGTTGGTGACGTTACGAGACCTTGTGTTGTATGGTCCAATTAAGTTTTTAATATTGATTTAATTTTTAAATAAACTTTTCACGTGCTATGAGATTTGTTGTACTTATTTTAAGTAAAAAAATAATAATTGCGTTACCTAGTATAATGGTGCGATTTTACAAAGCTCTTGTTGCAGAATTTGCAGGGATACGACCTCTGACCGGCATGGGTACGCACGTGCCTCGTCAATTTAGTTATTGACGAATAACCTGAACAGAAAAAGGAAATTAATTTATTTGCGTATAGGTTTTCCAATAGAAGTGCGATTTGCGTTTGTTCATAGCTTTCACTTAAATATAACATTAGTAAATCTTCGTAAGTCTTCCTGCGGACTCACGCTGTGGACAATATTCGCAGCTGAATGTTTGCTTTGCATTATGAACCGCGTCTATGTGGCGTTGTAGAGTAGATTTCTCTGGGAACCTGCAAAGGGTAAATAATCCATTAACCGGGTCAAGTACTACAACAAACATTACGGTATTGTTTAGGAACATTTTTTTTTTATATTCAAAACTTTTTCTTGTAACAAGATAACGCAAAATATACTTTTCGCTAAGCTATTTATTCGAAATATACAATACAATTCAGTGAGGAGTGAGGGTTCGTTTTTCATGGGTAAATTTTTTTTTATTGCTTAGATAGGTGGACGAGCTCACAGCCCATCTGGTGTTAAGTGGTTACTGGAGCTCAAAGACATCTGCAACGTAAATGCGCCACACACCTTGAGATATAAGATCTAAGGTCTCAGTATAATTACAACGGCTGCCCCGCCCTTCAAACCGAAACGCATTACTGCTTCACGGCAGAAATAGGTAGGGTGGTGGTACCTACCCGTGCGGACTCACAAGGGCAATTGTATTTCATTACAATTGTCACTCGGGAGCTTCAGCCTTACAACGAGCCAAGTTATCGTGTCTTTCTTTATTCGCAGGTAACCATCAGACGCACCACGAGCTCGAGGTCCGCACCAAAGTGTAAATTTAAATCTAGGCGCAAAATGTTATTTACCTTTTATCACATATTGTGCATAAAAATGGTCGGGCTTGAGCGTGGGCATGTTTTCGCTGATGCGTCTCCAATTCCTCTATCGATAAGAAACTGGCTGGACAACTAGGACATGACTGCTGAGGTAAATCTGGGTGTACCAACTGAAACAAGTTTTTTTTTTTAAAGATAACATCTATCTCTGTTGCATTGAAATAAAAAATCATGTTATCAGCTTGTGAATCACTTTTGGGCATACGCCTCACGCATCTGTCACAGTGCGTAGCTGTGGTGTCTGCGAATAACTCCTCGAGTACGGAGTTGTTATTAGTTATTAAGAGACGTTTAAAAAAAAAAGGATGTTAAAATCTTCAAAAATTGTGTTGTTTTTATTTATTATAAATACACAAACTTACAAAACTTACGTCATATTCAGAATTTGTATACTTGAACTGAAATTTCATCTTATATTGGTTATGCTTTTTTATCAAAAGATGCACTTAAATGTTACGACACGCATTAGGGTTTCAGGATAATTATATAATATTATACGTATTTTTATATAAATTAACATTTGGTTTTTAAATATGAAAATTTACTACATATTTTCAAAATTTTATTTATTTATTTACTATATAACTTTATATACTAGACAGTATAAAGGCGGACTATATGCCATAGGCATTCTCTAACAGTCTACCTTAGGGGTGTGCAGATGAACCGTGGTAGGTGTAGTGTTATACTGATATTAGGTACTGAAATATATGCATATATTCGTACTTAAATAAATACATATATAAATATAAAAATATGTATAAATAAATATTATCAATTAGATGACTAAACCTTAATTCGTAAATATTGTTGCGTACCTTTTCATGTCTTTTTAATAGAATTTGTCGTTTAAACTTTTTATCGCACGCAATGCATTCAAACGACATGTCATTCGAATGGCGAAGCTGATGTACGGACAAATCGTATTTGTTGAAAAATTTTCTGAAAAGAATAATAAGTTTTTCTTGTAATTTTTTAGTTACCATCTTGTATTCAATACACATATGGCCGGAAAATACAATTGAAACTCTGACCTCATTTTTAAAAATGAGTGATAATATTCTCGTTGTCTATGGATTTCGGATACCACTGTATGTTAGGTGGGCTGTGAGTTCGTCCATCCAATAAGAATATCAAAATTTTATGTCATAATCTAATCACAGTTTTGATATGCTGATTTTGATGGATGCGACGGCATCTGCAGTGTCATTGAAAACAGTTAACATCTTGAATTTTCTCAACTTATGCTAATAAAGCACAAAATTGGTATTTCTTTACTGTTTTATATTTTTGTGTGTTAGACTCTCGCTTCTAAACATGAAGAAAGTAGTCATTTGTCCATTGTCCCTGATCTGTCTGACATTGCAATTTTCATTATTAATATTATTAGTTTTCTAAAGGACATATATCTTTGTTTTTTTTTATTAAAAATCTACAGCTATTCAAACGTACAATTTCCGTTAACATCTTACGGTGATCTCTGGCATAAATACTGAAAGTCGGAAAGTACAAATTATTAAAAAAAAAAGTATAAGAACTTACGCATTGCACTCGTTGCACGTTTCCGTTCTCGGTCGGTGTTTCGTCATTTTATGTAGCTCAAACAATTGCTGGAGAGGAAAAGTGCTGTCGCATTCATCACAGGGCCAGCACGCGTCATCGCTCGCTGGCGATTTGTGTAGGGCTATGTCAATCTCCTCATAATCTGTATCACATCTCGAACGCACTGATGTAATGAGAATTAACGCTGACACTTCACAGAAATAACTGCACGAATACAATACTTTTAACTTCTTTTTTATTATTGGAAAGATTTTTTTTTTAATCTACCCAATATTTGAATGCTATCGAAGGGAGTAAAATTACTCATGCTTACGTTGATGAGATTTTCGTATCGGAAATTCCGAATAACAATTTCTTACAACATTTCAAAACAAACAAGTCGCTTTTTACAATGTGTACCTATCTATGCTAGCATTTTCTTCGGTTCACGCGTGGTTTAAACTCATTTAAAACTATTTTTACGACAATACTGTCACGGTTAGCACAATACTCAACTGTCGACGAATAACATCATATAATGAAAGTAAAAATAGCTATATAATGAAAAATGCGAGATTAGGCTGTAAAATTTGTTTGACTAATGTGTACATATGTTGAGTAGAGCATTTTTATGAAGAGCGCGCATTCGGAATTTTGACACGGAATTTCTGATAAGAAAACTTTTTTTTCCTACCTATGCTGATAGCCTTGAGAGGCTATATCAGTTTCACCCTAACGTGTAGGTAAGCACACGGGGCTCAAACCGGAGTGGTGCTAACACTGATCCTAGCAAGAGTAGTGCTTCGCAGAATCTACCACCGGATTGGAAACGCGACCCACTGAGAAGATTTAGCGAGAAAGTCCAGCCCTTCGTCGCAAGCGACGGGTACGACGAGGACGATGACCGGAATGGAAACATGATGCACACGGCATTGCTTAAAAGTAACAAGAGGTCTTAGGACAAACTATTTCGGCCGTCGAGAGAATGGGTTTCTGATAGGTCATAATCAAAAGTAGAATGTAGTTTTGAAGTTACATTTAATTGACTTATTTAGGCAAAAAAAAAAAAATCCTAACTAAAAAGTATTATTGTTTAAAAAATCTCAGGTGTTTTATTTTTATTTTTGTCATGACTAAGTTTAAGTTTGGTGCATTCATACCGAAACGTGAACAAACATTCAAATGTAAAAACCGTGAGCTAATCATCAACCTGCAATATTACTTTGTGCATAAAAGATAAAACAGATATCTCCACATCTTGCCAATATAGTGCGATCGAGCTAATCAGATCTCCAAGAAAAGGTTCAACAATCCGCCACAACCCTTATATACCACAAAGCTTAAAAAATCAAGCATGTATGGGGGTCCAAATATAAAAAATAATAGTGTTAATTATTTCCCATCATTCTCAAGGCGGCCGTGTATCTAATATTATATTAGGTGTACTTAAATAATATGCCCGCTACTTGTACATACACAGAATTCCAGTAACGTAATGTGACAAAAACAAAAAACACAATTAATTAACAATAAAAACGAATAAGTACAGAAAATCATAATAACATCACTAAACAGATAGAAAAAAAAAAAAATGATCGTGCACGGTATTTATTGCAAATCATAATTACTTACATTTTGTAGTCTAGACCAGCGGTTCTCAACTTTGGTTACTCAGTGACGCACTAATATACTCTTTACGTATTTGTGATACTCTTATATATTTAGATGCAAACATTTTCAAAGTCCTAGTATAAGTGTGATGGCAGGATCATTTATTAACTTAATTAAAATTAATGTACCGAATGTAGTTGTACAGTTAACGTCTAGTAAACAGTTGTATGCATCCCAGAGATATAACACCCTGGATCACATAAAAATATAATTGATAATCTCGCGACAATCTTGACTAGAGCTTCCAACACACCAATATGTCGCAATGCACTCACTGGTTGAGAGTTGCTGATCTAGACTATAAACTTACCTCATAATAAATTAAATTAGCTGTAAAATTATAATAAACATTGATTTTGGTTTATACATTTATTTTTAACTATTTTAAAATAAAAAGCTTATCTTTTAGCTTTCAAATTGTTTAAACATGCATTTTATTTTTATAAAACACAACTATAATGAAACAAAGCTATGAACACACGCAAATATTGTAAGTTTGAGAGCCCAAAAAGAAATGGACCAGTTCTGAGAGTTCAATAAGTTTACCAGGTTCAGATTTTCTTTTTGTTTCTCGAATATGAAAATAAGTCTACCTTTGTTAGAAGATTTAGTTTTTTCTTTAGAATTGTCAGTGGTGATCACTTTAATCCGGGCACTGTTGCTTTCATCATCAGGACCGTCACCTATCTGAAAATAGTAAAAAAAATATGCTGTATGCCTTTTATGAAGTATAATCAAAATTGACCACAGATTTTACTTATTTTTATTACAAGCAGCTATATAAGGACATTATTATAATAAAATTTGGCAGCTGCTGTACAGTGTGGTGGCTTTAGAGCCTTTTATGAAAGATTTTAAAGCGCTGGACTATTTTGCTGCTAGTGAATATGAGGTTTTTATTATTATTATTTCAAGCGAGTTTATAAAATTTCAATCAAAAGTTTGATGACTGTCTTCTTAACCTTTATATTGTAGACATTCTCGTCATCCTCCATATCAGTGTCAGAGAGATCTTGAGTTGAGACCTGTACTGTAGCACCGCCTTCTATTACAGTTTTCATGACAGGAACTTCAGCTGGAACTTTACCTTTACTTTTCAATTGGAAAATCTAAAAAAATTCAAGTCTTGTAGCAAACTAAACTAATTTACAAAAACAAACATAATAACATGTTTAATAAGCACTGTTCATAGATGGACTTCACCAATCTAAGTGTTTTTTACTATGACGGACCTGCTTCTCATGATGCCATAATTCGAAGACATGGGAATGTTAACAATTCAGGCGTCCCTCATATAATACGGTTAATTCGAACCATGTAGTATTGAGGTATTTTCTTGTGTTATACGTGGTTGGGAACCAATACTCAATTCATGGAAAAATCATATCTTCATGGAATGTTAAATTAAAAAAAAATCTGTTATATTAAAACCATGTTACAATAATAATTATTCTCAATTCTTGTACCATGTAATATCGAAATGGTGTTTTACAAATACCATATTTATGAGGGATGCCAGTATTTGGTTTATTGGAATTGATATTCTAAATTATCTTTCTTCAATATTATACAAATAGGTATTATGGCATACAGTAAATCTAGACGTAATGATACCTATTATGGTACATCCAACATCATAATATATAATACCTATTGACTTTCAAACTATAATTTCCTCTTGGGTATCTTCTATGCTCTCGCACTACTTTGACAATTTACCAATAACAATAACAGCTTAATTGAGCTCAACACGGGCACTACTGGCAAAGATAGTGTTCCTACAAAGAACATCACTCCAAGTGGAAACTATTATAACTAGACAGATAATAAATGAGAATCATTATTGCAATTTTTTTATTTCATTTTATTTTTAATTGCTTAGGTGAGTGGACGAACTCACAGCCCACCTGGTGTTAAGTGGTTACTGGAGCCCATATAAATCTACAATGTAAATGCCACTACCCACGGAGACATGAGTTGTAAGGTCTCAATTTTAACAGTACAATAGCTGCCCTGCCCATCAAACCGAAATGCATTACTACTACCATCACCAGTAATTACACTACTACTACCACCAGTAATTACACAAACTATAATTTTTTGGTCATAGGTGATTCAGGCAGAGGAAATATTGTAGATAATACAATAGAAAATACAACATTTTTGTTCCACTTCTAAACACTTTGATGAGATTTCCTTCAATTATATTGTGATTTTCAGAGATCATTTTAATATATCATATGAAAAGTCCCCTCCCCCTCCTTAATTTTAATTCACATCTAGGACACAATAAATTAAGCAGGTATTCATTCATATCTTTTTTTATAATTAATAAATACTTAAGTGGTACTTGAGTTATGAATATTCCTTTTTTATATTACATAAAAAAATAAAAACCTTTTTCAAAGAGGGTGGCCAATTTAAGGATTCTAATGTTGTTCCATTCTGAATAAACTGCAGTATATTTTCATCAGCTGACCGACAGATTCTCTTGAACTCAAAGTTGAGGTCCATGAAAAACTTGCAGCGAGTGCATATGTATGGAGGCATTTTATCCGAAGGGAAAACCTGTGGATATACAATTTTGTTTGGTTTAAATGTAATATCTTTTTTATTTAGTTTTAGTAATAAATTAAACACATGATAAGTACATAATTTTTATTTTTATCATAGTAATGTGAAGTGACACTGTAAATTGTTTTTAAAAAAAATATTGAAATTAAAACTACTTTTACGGGTTATTATCGCGTTTATTATTTTCATTATATTATTTCCGATGTTTGGAATACCTTAGTTTTGAAACAGCAAAAGTAATTTTATTAATGTCTAAATAAAACATCTAATTAAATTTGTTAAAATATTTATAGCCATTGCACATTATAAAATGATATTACTTTGTCTGTTTTTAAGTACATAGGTACCATTTCACATAGTTTGTTATGTTGAATGTAGCTTTCTAGTCACCAGGTGGCGGTAATTCAATTATTTAGCAAAATATGCATGAGAAATATTTTTGAATTTTGGATCAACTTAGAAGTAGTTTGACCGATACAGTCAATAAAATAATCATGACACGATTTTTATTCAGCAAAGCTTTGTTGTTGTGACGTTTATAAGTTTTGTACACAAACAAAATGTATTACAGATGGCGTATTTATAAAAATACTAAAATAAATTAAACGATTATACAAAATTCAAATAAAGATAAATCACATACCTCAATCGCAACACAGGACAAAATTTTAAGTTGTAGAGTTATAGCATTTTTTGGCGCTCGATTTTTTTCGTACAAATTTGTAAGTAGTGTTTCATCTTGAGAAAGACAAAACCTACAAATTTTTAAAGTACTTAAAGATTCTTTTCTTGAGTCCATTTTCACAAACTTTATTTACACATTTGATTGAATTGTAACAGAATTGAGTTTAATTTTTCTCTAACCTATAATTATACTGTAAAATAATGCAAACGAACGCCGAACACTAGCGCCACAACTGTGACGTTTGTCAATAGGTGATGTGCCAAGCGGTGAAAGTTTGAACTAAGGCGATGCTAGCGCTCATTCAAGTTCGAAAACATTTGAATTTTTAAAAGTCTATTCAATAATAGATGTCGTTAAGTATGTAACAAATATTGAATTGTTTTTTTTAATACGCTTTTATTAGCTTCAGACGTATGTAGGTATATATGTTTGTAAGGGAATCTTTGAACATGATTTTGACCGCTTTCGAAACGTCGGATTAACTCGAAATTTGGTATACACGGCCCGATGACATTGCAATATTTAAAAAAAATTGAAAAAATTGAAATTCAACTAAAAAATGAAAAATAAATAATAGCTTAAAAAACTAACAACATATGTACGCTTTTATAGAAAATCCCACTAAAAAATAGAAAATAAATTTTAATAAATTTGAATTAAAAATAGTGGAAGGAAAAATGATATTATTGTAAAAAAAAAGCGTGGGTGGATGGTATCAGTAGTTATAAATATTTTATGAACAGATATGAGTAGAAAAGTTATTTTGATAATATCTTGAAAAGCACCCCACGCTTTTTTACAAAATCTTTTTTCTTACACTATTTTTAATACAAATTAATATTTTGAAGTGAAAACTTCTTTAGAATCGCTGTGATTTCAAACCGGATGCAACGGAAAAAACGACAGGTAAGAGACACAAATACAAAAATGTGTAGGATGAAGCCAGCAAAGAATGAGACAGAAATATACATACTATTTAATACAGCGCCATCTGTGAGATTTTTGAAGTGAAAACTTCTTTAGAATCGTGATTTCAAACCGGATGCAACGGAAAAAACGATAGGTAAGAGACACAAATACAAAAATGTGTAGGATGAAGCCAGCAAAGAATGAGACAGAAATATACATACTATTTAATACAGCGCCATCTGTGAGATTTTTTAATACTAACGTGTGTATGAAAGCTCTTGTAGTGAATTTTAATTTAGGATTATACGTGAAATTAAAATATCAATTCACAGAGGGCGCTACCTTACAATTTTTTACTAATGACAAAATTTTACATATACTTAAGACGCAATGGCGGATCCAGGGGGGGGGGTCATGGGGGTCATGACCACCCCCTGAGCTGGTTCCAGGACTTAGGTGGACCACTAATTGAATATAATGATTTTATTTATATATTTTGTCACCATACAGATTTTATGTAACTACATACCTTCGATATTTAATTAATTTAATATAATATAATAACTTTGTATAATGGCAAACGTTTGGGAACGAACGCATCTAAATTTGACTATGTGACCCCCTCCTGGCGCCAAAGCTGGATCCGCCCTTGTTAAGACGTTTAGGATAATTGTATTTTAATTTTGGAAGGTTTCACTTCTACCACGTGTGAATTGCACACATTTTGTTTTTTTTTTTCTATTTTTTTTTTGGATTTTCCATAAAAGCGTATTCTGTTAGTTTTTTTAAACTATTATTTTTTCAATATAAAGCTGGAATATGTATAGGTACAATGCTTGGTAAAATGCACGTTGCATTAAATGCTTACTGATGATTTTAGCTATTGTGTGCATTGTAATAATGGTTTAAATGGTAAATGGAAAATGGTTTTACGAAATCACAATTTTTCTCGATTCTTTTATGTATTTAGGGTTTATTTCAGCCATTAAGCGCAACCTTCACGAATTTATCTGCTGGAGGTTCTATACGGAGACCCTATTTGTGTGAAGTATTCCTGCTTCTTACAATTAATAATAGAATAAAGGATATGTAATAAAGAACATGTTAAGTATAAATAAAGGATATATAATTAAAAACAACACCAGTGGTCATTGTGGTATTTATCCATGTAGTATTATAATCGGTCTACCACCAGTAATTATTATTACGTAGAGTTATGAAGTTTGCCGGTTGAATTTTTATACAATATGTTTTTCCTTCATCGTCATCATCATCAAATCCAAGTTTTTCGTGAACACGTCTTACGTGTTCCGTGAGAATAATTAGTGGCCTGCAGGTATTGAACACTATGGAAGACGATGCTCGACTTCTGCCAGTCCACCATATCGCAAAAGGAGGCGGCGAAACGAGAAAGGGAGAACTTTTCCCTTTCCGCATCGATTCGTCGCCGTCGAACCGGGGCCGGAGGAGACTGGCTGTAGTCTGGTTGTAGTGTTGACTCCCTTATCTCACCCGGGTTCTAACCTCAGAGGGGATCGGACGCTTGGGCGAAGAATGCAGGGGAGTCGTTTAGTGGGTAAGGTCATGAAAACATCCTCGGGCCCGCGGTTTCGCAGTCGCGGACCAGTCCCTCATACCCCGCGCGCCCCCTAGGTGCGGATGTAGGCCGGACCTCGTACGAGGTTCGGCCACCGGCCCGAGAGAAAAAAAAGGTATTGAACACTGGCATAGCCGGAACTTAATTAACTTTTATAGCCTCAAATATCTCTAGTTATGGCTCATGATTGTACATCGTTGCAATTTTTATTGGAAACTAGCTGACCTGGCAGACTTCGTAGTGCCTCAATCGATAAATAAAAGACCTAAACTTTTGTATAAAATATACTTAAAACAAACACAAAAGGAATCCGTCCGAGGGGGGACAAATCAAAGAAAAAACAAAATTGTTATTTTTATTTAATTCCGAGCATTTTCTTATTTATCTACCTTTTAAACCTACTCTGGACTTCCACAATAATTCAAGACCCAAATTAGCCAAATCGGTCCAGCCGTTCTCGAGTTTTAGCGAGACTAACTACTCTTAGTTAATTCAATTCAAATTAGTCAATTCATTTTTATATATATAGATAGCAACCATTTGATTATTTTGTTGCTTATTTATAAATAATATTGGCGCTCTAAAAATCTATTTTATTTGTTTAATTTAGTTCATTGATCGCACATTAATGATTACTAAATAAATACAAAAGAGACATTGTATCTTGTTACAAATTAGTAATATTTATTACCTAATAATAAATAATAATTTATATATAATATAATTTAATAAAGAATAATTTAAAATCCAGATAGGAGATCAAAAATGATTATAAGCAATATTTATTATGTAAACCAGAATTTATGAGTAATTTATTTTTGTTGATACATTTTGTTATACATTTTCGATACTTGGATATAACTACTTATCGATGTATCGAGATATTAAATATGACACAAAAACTTTATTTTATTTTATTGCTATAACGGGTGGACGAGCTCACGGCTCACGGCCCGCCTGTTGTTAAGTGGTTACCGAAGCCCATGGACATCTACAACGAAAAGCCGCCACCAACCTTGAGACATGAGTTGTAAGATCTTAGTTTTAACAGTACAACGGCTGCCCCACCCTATAATTAAAGCGAAACGCATTATTGCTTCACGGCAGAAATAGGCAGTGTGTTGGTACCTACCCGTGCGGACTCACAAGACGTCCTACCACCAGTAATTACGCAAACTACAATTTTGCGAGTTTGATTTTTATTACACGATGTTATTCGTTCACCGTGGAAATCAATCGTGAACATTTGATAGGTACGTATTTCACAGGGAAAATTGGTACCCGTCTGCGGGATTCGAACACCGATGCATAACTACATACGAATGCACCGGACGTCTTATCCTTTAGGCCACGATGACTTCAAACGACATTCAACATTAAATGTGTGTCCAGTTTGGAATCTGGGAATGGGTTGTAAACAGTCGAGGTCACCCTAAACACGTCATTACGTATCCTCCCGATCCATTAACGGTGTTTTTAGGTACCTCAAGCACCGTGTCGCTTGCGATGAAGGGCTCGACGAGTAAATTAACCCACAGACACAGCCCACTGAGTTTCTCGCCGCATCTTCTCAGTGTGTCGCGTTTCCGATCCGATAGTAGATTCTGCGAAGCACCGCTCTTGCTAGGGCCAGTATTACCAACACCTCCTGACTTGAGCCTCAAGAGCTTACCTACACGCTAGGGTAACGCTGATATAGCCTCTCAAGGCTATCAACATAGTTAGGAAAAGAAGGACATGGTATCTCTGGGTCATTAAAGGCTGAGCCACTTCGTCTTAAAATATATCCGAAGTCACAACAGGAATGCTGCACTTAAGCCATTAAGGTGTTTAAGGTCTATTTTATACTATAAAAACCACAATAATTGTATCATTTACACGCCATTGTACAGATAACTGAGACAGCAGCCCTACTTTGACTCCTCGGAAAAATTCCAATATCATTAAAACTATATTAAACTTATTTAAAGTTAAATTAAACGTAACGTAAATGTATACGCATTTAACTAACGAAACTGATTTACGTTAAGCTGTGTCCATCACTAAATTTAATACCTAAATACACCTGTTTGTTGATTCTACATGGTACGTAGACAAGTATTTTCGCAAAACCTGAATAGCTAACAACTGTACAAAGTTTCAAGATAGTTCGATATATCATGTGTGATCGCATAAATCACGAAACAATAAAAGAATTTATTTTTAAATAATCGAATTATTAGTTATACTTGTGTAACTCAGTATGGTCTACGACTTTTTACGTAATTAACGAGGTAAAGTAAAGATAAAGTAAATTTAAAGTATAGGTAAGTAAATGTAAATTAAAGGTAAGGTAAAGGTAAAGTTTTTATTTTTTCCCTAACTATGCTGATAGCCTTGAGAGGCTATTTCAGCTTCACCCTAACGTTTGTAGGTGAGCTCGCGGGGCTCAACCGGAGAGTTGCTAACACTGACCCTAGCAAGAGCAGTGCTTCGCAGAATCTATCACCGGATCGGAAACGCGACCCACTGAGAAGATCCGGCGAGAAACTCAGTGGGCGGTGTCTATGGGTTAGTTCGCTCGTCGAGCCCTTCGTCGCAAGGGACGGGTTCGACGAGGACGGTGACCGGAAGGTAAAGGAAAAGTAAAGGTGTATTCGTCATATCCGATCCAGACGACGCGGACGCGCAATGGCGCCGTTGTCGGCCGGAAATATGTCTTGTCGGATCCCCCGGATTCACTCGCGGTGTTTTTAGGCTCTTTAAGCACCTATTACCATCCTCGTTGAACTTATCGATTGCGACGAATAGTTCGCTGAGCGAAGTAACCCACAGACGCAGTTTCTCACCGGGACTTCGTCGTAGTGGGTCACGATTCCGATCCGGTGGTAGATTCTGCAAAGCAGTGCTCTTGCTAGGGCTAGAGTTAGCAATTTCTTTCAGATTAAGGCCGTGAGCTCACACCTACCCGTCAGCGCTAGAATACTTCCATAGGTTACCAGCGAATTGGTAGGGAATAAAATGTATTCGGAACTCCGGAAATCATATAATAAACGGAATCATATAATAAAATCGGAAATAATAAACGCGAAATTAAAACCTCAAAGTATTTATATTCTAAATATTCAGATTTAGATGCAAACTGCTTTGCTGGTTTTTCGAAACAATGCCACGCTATGATTACAGGCGTTTTACACTTTCAATGCTTGAACAGTAAAACAACAACTGATTACATTAAATAAGTAAAAAAATGCTAGTCAGGTACATATCCTTCACATGTTTACAAGTTTAATATCTATTAGAAACATTCCACATATAAATACCTACATCTATTGATTCAGGTCATATAAGATAAGGGTTCCGTTGCGTATTTAATTTTATATCGGCTAATTATGATAATTAAACTTCATATACTTTATTATCATCGAAGCGTTCTTTATATTTCAATGTCAATATGAAACGATAACTTCAATTATTTATGATACTACACAAGTTTTAGTTCAGTATTTTAACGATCGCGGAAAGCATCTGTGCTAGATAATTATTAATAACTATGTAGAAATTTGCAATTGTGAAGTGATGTTATAACAAAGCAAAGTAAAATGGAAAATCAACAGAATGCTACGAATAATGATAATCGATCTGGCATTGAAGAACGACAGAATGGTAATAGAAATAAAAATAGATCGAAACTTTCGAGGATGTAAGTAAATATTTGTGAATTCAACAAACATTTCTCTTTCAATAATAGGTAATCTATTTAATATTTTTTTAATCGTGATTATTTTTCCTTATGACGATAGATAAAAGGCGCATTTGCAGCTGATTTCATTTATTATGCCTATAAATCTTATAAAATAGGCAGCATTTAATTTTTGCTTAAACTATATTTCAGGCAGCGCTAAGTATATATTTTCAACTTCTTTAGCTGTATTTTGTTATAATATTTTACTTGTCGTTCAAAAATGTCTAATGAAGATAAAATTTGCGCTAACAAATGTATTTCAATTCAATTTTTGTGTTGAAGACTTGAATATAGTGAAGAAATGTAATATAGTAAATTTCACTTTAGAATTCTAGCTTAAAATACGATTATTCTTAAAAAAATCATGTCAATGCAGCTCAATGTTTAGTTGTATCCGTGTACAGATAATTGTATTATAAAATATTTAAATTTCTTTATGATAAGATTAAATATGTTACACTATAGACATTTAATATTATTTTAGTCAGTAATGTTTTAATAGAATTTCGAATTCGGTACTGATAGATATAGGACGTGCATGTAGAAATATAAGGGCTGTGTATTTTGGCCCCGAAGCAATATGGTCCGGCCTGGAGATTAGGGTAACCCATAAGACTGCTTTTATGTTCATGAGCAATGGTGACCACTCATTATAAGGTGGCCCTATAGCCATATAGCCCACATAACACTTGTCGACCTGCAATGACAATAAATAAATAAAATTGAAATTTCGATCTCATGTGAATTTTTCCCTATGCATCTTTCCGCGTAATTCTTAGGTTGTCAGATTCTTAGTCTGCACGGATTGATATTACTGTCATATTTTTGCGGGCCGGAGGTCCGTACCTCCTACGAAGTTCCGAAGCTTAGGGGGCGCTCGGGATGTGTGGGATTCGGTGGCCGAAGATGTTAAAGGCCAAGACCAAAGATGTTAATGGGATTACCGTCCTACCCGTTAAACAGATTACATTAAATGGGTAGTGAAAACGGTACTCTATAAACTATATAAAAAAGTTGCCGTTCACTTTGCCCCCATGCCCCTCCATGCATGAGTTTTGTCTCGTCCGATACTCGCATGGGGGGGCAATAGGGTGATTTAGTCGGTCCAACTGCAGCATGCCTCGCATACCGGCGTCAAAGCGAAAGCGCAGGTCCGGCAATTTTCTCTTGAACTAAAAAACCAATTTGTCGCCTAAGAAAAAACGCTAAGTTTTGATCCTGAAATGAGAGGAAAGGAATGTTTAAAAAGGTAAATCTCGTAGATTCCACAATCCAGCAAAAATTATGATGCATATTTTATTATATTTTACGTTGGGTACAATGATTTAATATACAACTTATTCACTACTTTTTTAACTACGTAAATAGGCAAATCACTTTAGTATCTGTTATCTCCTCTTTGTTAATCAATTTTGTTTTTTTGTTTCTTTATTTAGTACGTAGATAGCGCTTTAAAACTTAAGGTGACAATTATTATTGGTCCACCAAGCATTTCGAATAATTGGCGAAAAATAATAAATGCAATTAATTATATTGTTAATTAACAGAGGTGCCCTTTACCGTTTTAATATAAAGCTACTCTGCTTTGAAATATTCACTTTAGATTAGACTAGACATTAGACAGCTGAAACCCGGATACGATCTGTTATGACTGTAGCTAATTATATGAATAACATCGATTTCTTGAAGTTGTACGCGTGATATCTATTCTGAGTTTATAGTAAGTAAGTAATATGACAGAAACCTATTGTGGACACTCATCAAAAACCATTTTACCAAGTTTCATCACATTTAGAAGAATGGTTCAAAAACACATAGACAAATATATGTAAATACAAATACTCCATTTTAACTGTCTATATATAAATCGCATTTTTCAATTTAAGGTGGCCGTCGAGCTCTATTGTGAATTTGATTAATAGTAATAGGAACAGGAATAATAATAGTGTCTACGAATTTGTATCGACCGAACCCGAAACTGTCACAACACCGGAAAACGCTCTTGTTTTGGCAGCAGAGGTTTGTATAACAAATACCTTATACAGTTTACATTCAAATTTTATTAAAAAGGTTTTTTTTAAACAAATTTATGAAATTTATTTATTTATTTATTACACTTCATGTACAATTTATATTGGCGGACTTAATGCCTAAGGCATTCTCTACCAGTCGACCAAAGGTAGTGCAGAGTGAATAGTGGTAGATGCAATGAAATTTATATTAAGCTACAAATATATACACAACAAAAAGTATATACATACATATATACACAATCACATACACATACATGCATACACACACACATATATACATACATACATATAATATCGTATAAAGTATTAAAAGGAAAATTAAAAGGATTATGGAATAATGGAATGGACTATGGAAAAGGAAATTTATGATTTTTTTAGGTATGAAACTTTTTTAATTTTCGATGTCAGATTCCAGGAATTGATCGCGTTAAAAAGAATAAGGGGAAACATGCGATTGTATCTATAGTCTTAGTCGAAGCTAAAGGACTTCCGAAAGCACCTGAAGATGGGTCTACTCATGTATTGTACTGCAAGATACGGTAATTATCATCTGTTATTGTCAGCAAGAAATTACGTAACGATCGTGTGCTTTTAGAAATTTTTCAGCGTAGCCACTGAAGGTTTACTTTTTTGTCAAAGGGAATGAATTAATTAAATACCTAATGTGATTGTTTCATTATTGCCAAAAAACGAAGATTAGTTCTAGAGTTGGTGATTATGAGAAATACGATTTAAACATAAAACATACTGTATAGAGAGCAATGTAATACTGGTGGTAGGACTTCTTGTGATACTGATGGTAGGACCTCTTGTGCTTACTGGTGGTAGGACCTCTTGTGAATCCGCACGGGTAGGTACCACCACCCTGCTTATTTCTGCCGTGAAGCAGTAATGCGGTTCGGTTTGAAGGGTGGGGCAGCCGTTGTAACTATACTGAGACCTGAGAACTCATGTCTCAAGATGGGTGGCGGCATTTACGTTGTAGATGTCTATGGACTCCGGCAACCACCTAACACCAGGTGAGTCGTGAGCTCGTCCACCAACCAAAGCAATAAAAAAAAGAAAAAAAGTACAATGTAAAAAGCTGCTTTTCCGAACATGAACTTATTAAGTTTGTTTAATATATAACAAATATGTATGCTTACCTACCTAAGAAAAACTTAATAACGAAGAAAGTTTATGGTTTAATTACAGTTTCGACTCCAACATCAGTTTTCTTTTACGCCTTGTATGTGGACTTGAAAATACAAAAAAAAACATTACATCGCGTTGCGTGTTTCATTAAAATGGTTTCTCATTTGTAAGGTACCTACTCTTAGACCTTTTTGTAGTTATTGTTGCATGCAAGTATGTCGTCACATTACAGATTAGGTTCAGAGACATATAAATCGAAGAGTGTAACTACTCGGAAACCAGAATGGAGAGAACGCTTTAAGCTCCGGCTCGGTCATGAAAACATGCTATCAGTCTCGCTATGGGATAAAGGAAAACAAAAGAATTTCATGGGAAGGTGAGTGCAATGTTTTACATTTAAAAACACATACTCCAAGAGGACTTCAATTTTAATATTACCCTATGACAATCTTGGATTTAAGACAAAGAAAAACTTACCAATTTGGAAAATCTTAAGAATAATTTTAGGACAATCTAAGCAAGTGTTCCAAGATTCTGTGAATAACTTAATTAGGGATATGCCAAGGAAACTGGCTGTTTTAAAGAGCTAGTGGGGGTAACATTTAGTATCGATTTTAGCTCACATTTAGCACATAGTACACATATAGCCTTTCATAATCATTAGTCGGAAAATTAAATAAAAATAAAACTTATACGAGTTATGTATGAAGCACAATCTATATTAATAAACTTAATTGTCACAAACATCCATGTTTTTTTCCATTACCTTAAATTCTTTATTGATTAGAGTTATAAAGCACCCTCTATAAATTAACTTCCTACGAATTTACGTACTCTTTTACGAACGTCTTTATTAGGTAGAATTTAAAAAAAAATCGCCTTTATTCAATAAATATAGTTAGCCATTATAAAAAAAATGAATGAGTTTGAAACTAAAGGAGAAAATTTAAAGGTTTTAATTTTGAATTAAAACTATTTTTGTAGCATTAACCAAAGCATGACTCTTTGTACACCTTCTTCGATCTTTCATCAGTGCTTTGATGATCACATTAAAATATATTTCTAAATAATTCAGACAATTTTGTTTTTTAAGTTGTGTTCTAGACCTTTCATTGCTGGAAAAGGAGCGTACTCATGAAATATGGCAACTTCTTGATGACGGATATGGTTCTATACATCTATCCGTGACGGTGTGTATGGTAGATAACAACACAGACTACGGCACCACTGCTGAACAGGAAAAATACGTAATTATCATTTTTATACTGTAAATTTTATTATTCGCCCGCCCCTTATTGACACCGTCGGACTTAAATGAATAACTATAACAATTACACTTAGATTCCGAACGGGAATTAGCTTTGTAAACCTTCAACAGTGCAGTAACCGGATTCCGGAGGGACCAATTGTCATATTAATTGTTTTAATTATTCAACTGATGAAAGTTGAATTTAGAATAGTTTTAACTGCATACACCGATACAGAAAGCTCCAAAATCAAGAAAAAATCTTATTAGTTTTTGAAAATGAGTAATGACAGGCTGATGTTTTAAAATATGTTTTGCCTGTTTACATGTATGGGCATTAGGAAGGTGTAATTGTAGTTATGAAAATTTGACGTAACTTAGTCCCAAGATATAGTTCCGTCAGCATTGGCAGCATGCGCTGCGTTTCGATAAAAGTCTTTTAATTAAGTCTTTTAATTTTAATTTAAATATTATTACAGTGAGTAATCATCCTAGTGAAGCTAAATTGCGTTTTAGTGGTTTGCAAAATAATGAATCTAAAATGAACTTCATTACAATCAATGTTTTTTTTAAAACTTAGTAACAATTAAAATGTTATAATTATAAATTATATTATAAGCATTTCTTTATGACCAAGCTTTAGCCTGAAATGAAGGTAATAAATACAAAAAAAAAATTAACTTTTTAAAACGGTGATTTAAAACAAAAGTTATTTAATTTATTTACAGTCTTTGTCGAATTTGAGGAACTGGAAGTTAGTTGGACAGTTACATGTAAAATTGATAGCCGCTAAAGGTTTAAGTGGGAAACCAAACGCGTATTGCGTATTAGAACTAGACAACGAAAGGGTACAGACGCCGTTTGTTCCGGGTCCAGAACATTTATGGAACAGAACCTATGTATTGTGAGTATATTGTATGTTTATGGGTAAAAATTCCACTTCGACAAAGCGGCACGACACGAGAACCCTCTCATCGTGGCCGCCGGTAACTACATTCCCGATCCTGCGGAAAGAATGGAAAGCAGTCGACGTCGCCCAAAACACGTCATCTCGGATCCTGCCGATCCACTAACGGTGCTTTTAGGTACCTCAAGCACCGGTCACCGTTCTCGTCGAACCAGTCGCTCGCGACGAAGGGCTCGACGAGTAAATTAACCCTCAGACACAGCCCACTGAGTTTCTCGCCGGATCTTCTCAGTGGGTCGCGTTTCCGATCCGGTGGTAGATTCTGCGAAGCACGGCTCTTGCTAGGGTTCGTATTAGTAACGTCGTCAGGTTTGAGCCCCGTGAGCTCGCCTACTAGTTAAAGTTACGCTGGAATAGCCTCTCATGGCTACCAGCTTAGGTAGGAGAAAAAAAAAGGTAAAATTTGATTGGGACCTTTTATTTTCTTACTTACGTTTTAAAACTAATTTTACGGCTTAATCTGGAGTTTTTTTTATTTTAATTACGACGTTTCGTATACTTTACGGTTTTCGTGGACACGGACGACTGAAGATTAAACCGTAAAAGTAGTTTTAATTGTGGTTTCGGCTCGCGAAAACTGAAGATAATTTTTATTTACTAATTTTTGGTTGCATCTGATGGGTGACGTAGCTAACGGTCCGACAGCTATTTGGGATAACGTCAAATGGGCTGATGGCCTGAGAAGTACACTCAATACTAATCTGCTTTGTAACCACATAGACCTTTTAGGAGATTGGACGTAATTTACATTATCATGTTATTAGTAACTGGAGGTCGTGTTTATAAACTGATTGATATTACTAGAATGAGAGTTATTCAGAGAGTCCATGACCCTAAGCATCCAAGTTTATCGCCGTAAGGAGGAAGAGAATGTTATTACTAACAGCGATTATAGTGATTTATAATTATTAATACCGAGGATGTATATATTTTCTCATTTGTTTTATTTTAGTAACGTGTATGACGTCACTTCAACATTAGACTTGAAAGTTCATGATAGTTCATTAATGAATTCATTCTTAAGCGAATCGTTGGGAAAGATTTCAATACCGCTACTGAGAGCGTGCAACGGCGAAGCTCGTTGGTACGCCCTCAAAGATAAGAACAAACGGAACAGCGCTAAGGGAAACTGTCCCAGGATACTTTTGGAATTGAACCTAATTTGGAACCCCGTAAGTATGATTTCAGATTGTATACCATTTCTATTCAGAAAATTACTAAATTTGATTTTATTGTACAGCAGATAATATCACTCAATTAAGAGGCAGCATGGAGCAGGAGGATTGGTCTTTGGCAATGGACTTTCATTTTGTTATAACTTTAATGTTGAAAGTTTCGTAAAACTCAGTATTCATTGATTATAGATTTTTGTTTTCAGTTAAAAGCGTCTTTAAAATTATTTCAACCAAAGGAAGTGAAGTACATTAAAAAGTCGCATAAATTCGATGTATTCCTGGTTTATAGGAATATCGAATTCGTTCGAGATACGTTCATACTCTTATATGATGTCAACGAAAGCTTTAAGTGAGTATTGGTTGTATATATATTCTTATTCTAATACTATAAAGAGGAAAGATTTGTTTGTTTGTTTGTATTGAATAGGCTCCGAAACTACTGAACCGATTTGAAAAATTCTTTCACTGTTTAGAAGCTACACTATTCGCAAGTGACATAGGCTATAATCTTTTTTGAAAAAAATTAGGGATCCTTACTAAAACTCCAATAATGTAACCAAAGTTCTAAAAAAATTACCTAAAATATTCTTTATATCGCGTGCCCCGCGAAAACTATTGGTGATAAAATAAAATAATGTACTACGACTTTGTAGAACAGATTATTATTTACAAAAATTGTCGCGACTAGCTATTATAGTTATGACGCAATAAGTGTTCTTTTATTAAAAATAATAAAACGACGTCAAATATCGTTGAAATTTTTGTTAAAAATCCGAGCGGAGCCGGAGCGTGCCGCTAGTATATATAATATATAAGTATAATTTTAGTATTACTATTCTCAAGATATTCACATTTCGCGAATTCATTTCATCACCTCAGTTCCAAGTACTTCTCAGTTAAAAGTGTGAGATATTATTAAATGTTTTTTACCAAAGATATATTGGTTTAAAATTTACCGGTGCTAGAGCTTATTGTAAGTCCGCACGGATAGGTGTCGTAATTCTACATATCTCGATTCTCGACCACGAAGCTGCGTTTTAATACGAAGAACGAGAAAGCCGTTTTGCAAGACGAGACTTCATGATTTAAGCTAGGTGACATTCACATTGTCATTGTCTATAGGATTCGGTAATCACTTAATACCGAGTGAGTAGTGAGTTGGTTCACCGATGAAAAAAAAGCGTCAAAGCTAATTATTAAATAAAACAAATTTCGATAAAAATGCCGTTTAATGATTAACGCATTTTTCTCAAGTTAAATTTCGTGCAGTATAAACAAAAAATAGAAAAACCCAAAAGCTAAGTCTAGCGTTATCAAACTTTTTTCACTGCAAAATGTGTCCGCCTATAACCGTAATTAAAATTTATTTATTCGTATTATAATTTCTTAATTTTAAATTATTAATTATCTCAGAAGAACATATTTTTCACATTTGAAAATACGTTACATATTTCTCAAATTATTAACATACTTTTTTCGCATTAATTGGCTAAACGACTGACCTAGTGTTTAGCCATTGCCAAAACCATAAATGAGTCGAGAAATGACGCTGAAGACGATTTTTTTTTTGTGCACTGGTTATTCTATATCTACTGGAATGCTTGTGAAACAAAGCCACAAGGTAGCAATTAGCTTAATATTAGTAGTAAACTTGATTGATAACTTTTTTTTGATTACATATTTTCACAATATTAAATAGTATTTTGAAATACCTTAATACGGTTTAACGGCCGATAGCTTTATCTTATCGGTTATCTAAAGAACGTTCCCATTATTGTTGTTGTAATTTTCATTAACATTCGGTCAGCTATGTGGTTTTGATAGATTATGCGCCCTTGGGCACAACTAGGTTGCCCGGTGTAATCGTTTCAAGTGATGCGTCTATGCCGAGACACAAACCTCTGGATATTTTTCCAGATGTTTCTTTTCCATATGCTTACCATAACGGCCTATGCGATGATGGACTGTAGTATCGGGTATATGAATATTCGTGATTGATATTTCTGTCGTGAAATAGGTATGCGTTTTATTTGTCAGGGTGAAACAGCCGTTCGACAATAATGCAACTTTATCCTCATGTCTTCTGGTGTATTATTTTGTGGACTCGAATAATGAATACCAAATCCAGTAATTATTGACTTAGAGAACATCATCATCCACTGCTGGACATAGGCCTCTTCCAATCTACACCACTGAGCCCGGTCTGCGGCTCTCCTCATCCACTTCTTGCCGGCCACCGTGCGGAGGTCATCGCACCATCTAGCCAGGGGGCGTCCCACGTTATGTCTTCCACTGCGCGGTCTCCACTCGAGCACCCGCAGAACTTATAGAATACATCTTATAAAATACATAACCAATATTTTAGTTATAGATACGCTATTATATTGTAGGATAAGCCATGTTTATAACCTATTTGATTTTAGGCGACTTTTTGAATGGGATAACCAGGAATTGTCGGCAATAGCACTATGTTTGTGGCTCGTTTTTTGGTATCATTTCAAGTTTTGGACCCTTCCTTTACTACTCTTGGGCCCGTTTATATATTTTTGGGCGTTCAACAGACGACAACGTAAGTAACTTATTTTAAGCATTATTAAAATGTTACATAAAAAAACGACATTAATTTTGTAAACTCAATCAATGTGTTTTAATAAATGGTGGGCATTAAAGTTACTGATGAAAGGCGAATGGAAATAATCGGTATCTTTTTAATCCTACCTATGCTGATAGCTTTGAAAGGCTATTTCAGCTTCTCCTTGACGTGTAGGTGAACCCCGAGGCTCTAACCGAGAGTGCTGCTAGCACTGGCTCTAGCAAGAGCAGTGCTTCGCAGAATCTATCACCGGATCGCAAACGCGCCCACTAAAAAGATCCGGCGAGAAACTCAGTAGGCTGTGTCTATGGGTCAATTCACTCGTTGAGCCCTTCGTCGCAAGCGACGGGTTCGACGAAGACGGTGACCGGTGCTTATGGTACCTAAAAGCACCGTTAATGGATCGGAAGGATCCGTATTGACGTATTTATTAAATATATGTATGTGTATAATAAAAATCTTACATTTATTTCCGTTATCTGGTACCTGTAACACAAGTTCTTTACGAACTTATCACGGGACCAGTTAACGTGGCGTGATTGTTTGTAAATATTTATTATTATTTAGGACACATCGGTATCGTTAGTTATTTCATTTTAGATAGCGCGTCCAATTATTATAATGAATCTAAGTAGCAAGACGATATTATTGAATTAACAAATTTTCAAATATACTTTCCTTATATCGCAACATACAAAGGCACTCGTCGAATTATATTCATAAACTTATATATTAACCTCGAATTTCAGAAGAGATGTCTTTTATGCGTAAGTATAGTCCGAGCAATGACCCCTCTGAACTGGAAAGTCCACAAAACGAGAAAACATTCACTGGACGGATTCAAGGTCTGCCCGATATGACCCTAACCATTACTAATGGAATTGAATATATGGCTTCGATAGCAGAGAGATTGTACAAGTGAGTTCGAGTTTTAAAATTGGAATTTTCAGCTGATACGACAAGAGCGTGAGTTTCTGAACGGAAAATATCGTATGCTATGAATGTAATGTGAAGCTATATAGTTTAGTAGAGTTTATTGTGTGTGTGTGTGTGTGTGTGTGTGTGTGTGTGTGTGTGTGTGTGTGTGTGTGTGAGGAAGCAGAAATTAATTTTTTTAATGAAATGCGTAATTAACTAATTTTCACGAATGACTTTCACGATAGAAGGCGATACGAAGGAATAAATAACATTCTGTAATAAAAAAAATAGTACACACGGGTAGGTACCACCATCCCGCCTATTTCTGCCGTGAAGCAGTAATGCGTCTCGGCTTGAAGGGTGGGGCAGCCGTTGTAAATATACTAAGACCTTAGAACTTACATCTCAAGGTGGGTGGCGCATTTACGTTGTAAATGTCTATGAGCTTCAGTAACCACTTAACACCAGGTGGGCTGTGAGCTCGTCCACCCATCTAAGCAATAAATATACATATACTCGCAAAAAAATATAATTTGCGTTTTTACTATAAAATTGAGCAATCAAATAAAATTTCAAATCTCAAAGTGGCCAGTGGATGACTATGGGCTCCGGCACCCCCCATCACCAGATGGACCGTGAGCTTGTTCACCCTTTTCTAAGCAATAAAACAATGCATGTTTAAAATAACTTAATTTTCAGTTTGGCAAGCTTCAAAGTACCGTTCATAAGTTATATAACAATGTTGATACTTGTAATATCATCAGCTGCGTTTTATTGGATACCTTACAATTATTTGATGATGAGCTTAGGTGAGTGTGTACATTTCACTTTGGCCATAACACAGTAAAAAAAGCAAACAAATTAATTAATAAAAAATTATGTTCAAAGATTCCGTTACATTGATATATACAAAGCTAATAAAACCGCGTTAAAAAGAAAATCGGTTAAGACCCACAGAATAAAATAGTACTGAACTATTAAAAATTTTTATTATTGAATATATATTACAGAGATTATATTATATCAGACAAAGTATGCACGTTAAACAATATTGTTTTTTTAGGGTTTTCCTGTTTGTGAATTATCAATAACCTGTTTATCTATATTATAAAAATATAATAATATGATTTTTAAACTTTTTCAGGTATTTACAAATTCACGAGAAAATTCTTGAATCCGGATAGAATTTTGAACAATGACTTATTAGATTTCATATCAAGGGTTCCAGATAATAATATATTGGTGAGTAATTGTAACCTTTAATTAGCAACATCCTAATAGATTCGTTTCTTAAAAAATCGGAATCATACTGTACAATTTCTATTGCCCAAAACGAGTTGATTTTATTAAGGTCTTCCAGGCCTAAAGGCTAAGACTTCCGGTGCATTCGTATCTAGCAATGCAGCGGTGTTCGAATCCCTCAGGCGGGTACCAATTTCTCTAATGAAATACGTACATAACAAAATATGTTCACGATTGACTTCCACGGTGAAGGAATAACATCGTGTAATAAAAATAAATACCAGAAAATTATAATTTGTGTAATTACTGGTGGTAGGACCTCTTGTGAGTCTGCACGGGTAGGTACCACCACCCTGCCTATTTCTGCCGTGAAGCAGTAATGCGTTTCGGTTCGAAGGGTGGGGTAGCCGTTGTAACTATACTGAGACCTTAGAACTTATATCTCAAGGCGGGTGGCGCATTTACGTTGTAGATGTCTATGGACTTCGGTAACTATTTAACACCAAGTGAGCTGTGAGCTCGTCCACCTATCTATGCATATATAAGCAGCATACGGCACACCAACTTGAATATTCAGCGATTATCAAAGAATATAGACATTACAATGTGAATGCCGCCACCCACCTTGTGAAATGTGATCTAACCTGTCTCAGTTTTCAAACCGGAATATAAGACTGAATGAGGACTGCTTCGAATTATTTATAAGAAAAATTACTTAAGTGGGCTTACAATACGCCCCCCCCCCCATCGTAGGCACGGTACATATGACGCATGAATGAATTTATTTATAAAAATAATTTTCAAATATTTCGAAATAAAAAAGACATTTTAGACATAAATAAATACTAGATTACATCGTGAGTATATTATTAATCAACTATGTTTGGGCATATTTAGCGTGATTAATGTTCTTCTGTTCTAATCCTTCTGTTCTAATTTTTTTTCACACAACAACTTTTTTATTTTTGCAGAAAGAATGGAAGGAATTAAGCGTTCCGGAGCCTGCGCTCTCGAGATACAATAGCAGTTGCAATGGAAACTGAAGCTTAAACCATAAATAGGAAATAGAGTAAACATATTTTATTATATTTTCTAAATAAAACAATTTCTTCTCGTTTACAAAATTATTTATTCGCTTAATTCTATCGATCACAATCTTGAGCTATGAGTTATTTATTATAGGCAACCATTGCCTATGTAATAAAGTTATTACAGAAAAGGAAATCAACTATCACATATTTTTTTTGCAATATCTATGCAGCACCTAATGAAGGCATTTAAATATAAAGACTTAACTCTCATTGCTTATGTAGGAGATCAGCAACATCCCTATTGGCGGTAGGTAGTCACCGTGGCTTATACATATCAGTAAACCTAGCCGCTGCCTACTGCAAACTCACGGTTAATCAATTTATATTTACAAAAATATACCTAACGTGCTCATGAATATATAATTATAATAATTGTATTAAATCAATACAATACAATATCAAATAATTATTAAGAATAATAAAGTATATAATTAATTTAGATTTTATTTAGAGACGGCAAAGTATAATATCATTTAACATTCAAATGCTGTTTAAGCTATTCTAGAATCGAGTCTTAAATTATATTGTGATAATAGAGAATAAGGATCCACATGAGTATTGGTCAAACCGTGTTTCCGCTTTAAACTTTTGAACCCACAAAAGTAGTGAAACAGGTCAAGTGTGGTTCGAGGGGAACCTAGCTCTCATATTTTTTTATATTTCCATTAAAGAAACATAGTAATGCTAAGATTCGGTGTAAATAAATATATATAAAATAATCACGGCTGTTTTCTAAAATTGCTTCGAAATTATTTCGAATCACCGAAGCGGCTTAAAATTATTTTTATCACATTTTTTTTCTACATTGCCTTTGTTCTTTATTTTTAGATAATCATGTAACTGTTTATTTTTAAATTGATTGAGTATTACATGAATAAAAATGAAGATCACAAACTTGCTTGCCATTACGAAAGTTTACACTATCAAATAAATGTAAATTCCAGAGTGGATACCGTATTATTTTAAATGAAACCTAACTAAAATTAAAAATCTAACTAAAAATGAAAGTCTTTTATTTAAAATTATAGTCTACAACTATTAATTAATAAAGTTATCAAACAGTTCATTATAAATCTACAATAGTAAAATGTAGATGTATTTATTCTGTGATGTTAACAAAATGACCACACATTTTTTTGTAAAATATTATAATGGAATGATTCGAAAAAAATATTTTAATATAAATAAATTTGAAAGTTTCTATACAGATAGTAGTATTTTTTCATAATTTAAGTAATAGAAGTGAAACTACAATCATACAATATAAATACGGCATTATATATATATTTTTTAATTTATCATAATTATTAATGTTTAAAATCATACTTGGCAACTACTGGAATAAAATTAAATAATGTACATGATGTGTACTAAATTGTTGTATATTTTTATAATTTTTATAGGATACTAGCTGACCCGGCAGACTTCGTAGTGCCTCAATCGATAAATAAAAGACCTAAGCTTTTGTATAAAATAAACTTAAAACAAACAAAAGGAATGCGTCCGATGAGGGACACATTAAAGGAAAAACAAAATTGTTATTTTTATTTAATTCCGAGCATTTTCACATCTATCTACCTTTTAAGCCTTCTCTGGACTTCCATAAATAATTCGAGACCAAAATTAGCCAAATCGGTCCAGCCGTTCTCGAGTTTTAGCGAGACTAACGAACCGCTATCCATTTTTATATATATAGATTATGGATCATCAATCCTTCTTCGATGAAGCACTCCGGAAAATTACCCAGAGCCTATTTCCGAAAAGATCACAACCGATAACAAATCACTATTCTATTCTATTTTTCTGCATTATAAATTATTTTATTATTTAGTATTTAAAATATAATATCGCTTTTTCGTTTCGCACTTAAAATAAAGTTATCAATTGTGAGATAAGAGAATACTAGTTCACAAACTGGGAGCCCCATTTTTTTTATTGCTTAGATGGGTGGACGAGTTCACGGCCCACCCTTTGCTAAGTGATTACCGGAGTCCAGCAAATCCTAGCGCCCTTTTTTTCGCCTACCTATGCTTATAGCGTTGAGAAGCTATATCAGCGTTATCCTAGCGTGTAGGTGAGCTCCTTTGATTGATTCAGAGAGAGAGAGAGAGCGAGAGAGAGTATACTTTATAGCACGCCATAATTAAAATTGAATAAAACTCAATAGGTAGGTGTCATTAGTATTTAGTACACTAAGCGGTTCTATCGCTAAAAGTAATTTATTTCTGACAATCGTTTTCTTCTAAAGAGATTCTAAAGCAGGTACTAGTACATAATATAGATAAAAAAGACCAAACCTTCAGGAGCATTATTAAATAATGAAAATACGTGTAATAACTTTTCTACATTGTTTGATTAAGCTCAGTATTACATTTAATTCCAGACCTGAACATCATACGGCCCCCTATTAAATTGAATGTCTCTTACAACAAATATTGTAGGTGATAAATTAAATATAATCCTCGCCCTAATACTAATACATTAAGTACATACGTCTAATCAGATCTAAGCGTTATGCAAAACATGACTTATCAATTAATATACATTATAGATAAAAATAGCATGTAAGCAAATGGATAAGTGTCAAATTGGATTCACGATAAGACAAGCGTTCATTATCTTCTGCACTTTGATCCTGTCCTGCTTAAGCTCGGTTCGGGTACTTTCAATTCCTGCCATTGTTTCTGAAAGGTGATAGAATGACACGTTGACGTATTTAATTTTGTTACCCGGCTTATAGAAGCCACAGTGGTTTTTGTTATTGCCCTTAGTAAGCAGCAAGCATACCTGACGTGCCCAAATTTATAAAATAACTATTATTTACGCGGATTGTACATAACTATATATGTAATACTATAGTAGAATAATTTTGACCATGCAGTTTGGGTCATAAAACATAGCCCGGCTAGGGCGGTGAGCATGTTGCGCGGGCGCAACGCCATTATCGATAAAAACAAACGAGTCATCGAGGCCAGGTACACGGCGGCAGGGTGGTATACGAAAGGTGGTGAGACATGTTATGTTATGAGTCATTTGTTGTACCTAACTGCAAATTATAGTACATATGTCGAAGAGCAATGTGATTTTGTGCATTCGCTCTCTGAATTTATTTAGTGACAGAATGGCTACTCTTTTGTTATGTACCAAAACGGCAGAATTTATTCTAATAGTTTGCTTGTTGGCAAAAATATACCAGCACAAGAACGTGTTATTATCAACAATGTGTTAAAAAATTTCGCTGAAATGAGAATAGATCCCGAAGTTCTCGTTAACTTGCTGCGGTGATATGTGGTGTAAGTGTTCGACTAGTGATTTTTTCTTTCATTATCACTAACCCACAAAATGACAAAACTAAATACACTATCGATAACGCTTATCGACAACAATAATGTGCATCACTATGCCCGTCCATAAGGCTCGTGAGTGGAAGAGAGAGCGAAATACTCGCTGCACCGCTCCGATTTTTTATGACCCAAACTGCACGGACAAAATAATTCTACTATTATATAGTGGTCCCCCGGTAGTCGAAATTCGACTATAATTAATTGAAATTATTAGTTTGAACATTATTATGATTCTATTGTTAAAGACTATTTATTATACACCTATAATCACAGATTTCGCTAAGACTACACTTTAGACAAATATTAATAAAGACAAACAATATTTAATCTATTTTCAATTTGACCACAGACTTTAAGCGATAAGAAAAGTTTGACAATAAACAAATAGTGTGCATGCATGTGTTTGTCAAATACACGGCCGTGTCTGTAATGTTTTCTTTTATCGATTTCATTTATTTTTAATAAATAACTTAAAAAAATATTATCATTCTGCACTCCTTCTCTATATTCCCTATAAGTGTAGAAAATTTCATACTCCTCCGTCCGCGCAATATTCGTAAAAAGGAATACAAAGTTTTTGCTTCATGTATTAATATATAGATAATATTTACTAATAAACTAATTTAATGTTACTGGTGGTAGGACCTCTTGTGAGTCCGCAGGTGTAGGTACCACCACCCCGCTTATTTCTGCCGTGAAGCAGTAATGCGTTTCGGTTTGAAGGGTGGGGCAGCCGTAGTGACTATACTGAGACCTTAGAACTTATATCTCAAGGTGTGTGGCGCATTTACGTTGTGGATGTCTATGGGCTTCAGTAACCACTTAACACCAGGTGGGCTGTGAGCTCGTCCACACGTCTAAGCAATAAAAAATAATAATAATAATAGATATTTAAAAAAAAAATATAGTTGATGATCTAAATTTCTATTTACCAGTGTCCTATCGTCGGGCACCCTCGATATGAAATCCAAGATATCATTGTTCGGAACTCGATCGGGATTCAAGTATTTACGAGTAAATTTATAAATACCTGAAACAATTTTAATCGTTAATGTTTACGAATTTTGCTATACTTGGCCATAGCTTGGCCATAGTTACCATAGTATGGTAGGTATTTCAAATTAAATTAAGACTTTGATCATTTGCTGTGGTTGCAAAAAAAAATAAAAAATTAAGAGGTAAAACAAATGTCTAGTGATGTTTTTATTTTGAATGTTATGGCTTCTTTTCTTCTTAAACAAAAATCTGTAAAGCGCTTTACATACCCAATGCCATGAAGATGTAGTTCGCAGGTATTAAATAAAACGCCACGCTGAGACCCACCATTGCAGCCATCGCTAAATAACTTAGGTACGGTACAGTGAAGTTCAATAAACTGAAAATTAATTGAAAGATTAATATTATTGGTCCATTTTAATGCATAAACATCTTAAAAATCTTCATTAAAATAATAAATTGACTCTCTGAGTGACGAACAGCCAAGACGCAGAGATTTAATTTTTGTACTAATTACGCGAGAAGTATAGTAAATATTTTGTTATTAAAAATGAAAGCGTCAGAAAAATTTGAACTGTGGAAAAAAAACGAAATTGATATAGTTTCGTAAAAAGTACCTATACCAATATAACTGTAGTCAATGAGAATATCAGACGAAACGCAACATTTTGATTTCTGCTCCGATTTTTAAGGGACAGCAAGGAAGGTAGCGTCGCATATGTTTAACAGCGATTTTTTTCTTCTATCAGCCCACAGACGTCCACTGCTGGACATAGGTCTCCCCCAAGCATCGCCACAAAAATCAGTTCTGCGCTGCTTGCATCCAGCGGATCCCCGCGAATCTCAGTAGGTCGTTTTAATTCGTTTCAGCGAATAAATAAAGCAATTTCACACTGTATTCGGTCGCATCGTTGGCCATGTGGTTAGTATTCGAGATATGGATGTAACTATTTGTTCTTATCTCGCACGTGTGTTAACGGTACCCGTTGACTATAGAATTAATTTAATATTTTGAATTTTAAAGTACCTACAGTAATGACCTACCCAATCCGAATTTGCATTTTCTAAAAGCGCACTTGAATATTTTTATGACAAACTAGCTGACCCGGCAGACTTCGTAGTGCCTTAATCGATTAATAAGAGACCTAAACTTTGTATAAAATAAACTTAAAACAAACAAAAGGAATCCGTCCGACGGGGGACACATCAAAGGAAAAAGAAAATTGTGATTTGTATTTAATTCCGAGCATTTTCATATTTATCTACCTTTTAAACCTTCTCTGGACTTCCACAAATAATTCAAGACCAAAATTAGCCAAATCGGTCCAGCCGTTCTTGAGTTTTAGCGTGACTAACGAACAGCAATTCATTTTTATATATTATATAGATCAACATGATTCAAGTTCGAAGAATAATCTTCGCCAAGTTCGCGTTGTGAAAATTTTGTGAAAAAGCTATTATATCGCGCTAATGAAATTTTCAAGATAAACTTGCTTATACATACAAGCTTTCAAAAACAAAGTTCGGACCGTTGGCCTGAGGAGCAACATCACTCAATCCACAACAAACAACAATATAAAATCTTCTCTTTCTCGTTTCCCCCAAATAGCCAAGGAGAAAAACGCATATTAATAACAAACAAAAATCCTAAAATCATTTCACACGGTAGTCGTTGATTACAAAACTTTTGATCGGGAATAGCTTTGACCCTGTGAAGTTATGTTGTGTTTGACTTATGAACGACGCTAAGATGAGCCACACGTATGTCTATAAAAACTTACTTTTTAACTCGCTCTAAAAGTGACACTATGTAATCGATGCCGTCTTTTATTGTAAACGTCAATTCCTGTAATCCGTAGAGACGGGTTTTAATCGTTTTTTCATCCTGAGAACAAACACGAAATATAGATTAATGACAATCATATATTAATATAACTGATATTTAAATATTGCCTGCGAAAAAACAAAAAAAAAACACAAGGTCAGCTTCAAAGTGCAGCTAATTTAAATTATAAAATTAACAACTGGCTGAATTAAAATGAACGATCACTTGTACCGGTGACAGATATGGATTCCGGTTTGAAGGGTGGAACAGTCGATACATAATAGAACTAATGAAAAAAACTTGATCATGACTACCTCATGTTCTAAGACGACTTTGACGTTTTCATCTTTTTTTTGCCATGACTCCAAACGAGTACGCCAGGCGTATTATCCTTTAGGCCACAGCGCCTTCTTAGATCCCTACAGGCTTCGGTAATTAACGTTACGTGCTAAGAATCCGTCTGCCATTTTTGCACAGACAGGTTAAGTCACGGCCCGAATTATGCAGAGTTACTTGAAGCCATTACAATGTGGATATCACCAGCACCCTCATGACAGACGAGATCAAAGTTTTAATTACATAATTTAACGGCTGCCCCAACCCCTTAACATGGAACGCACGACTATTACACGACAGAACTAGGTAGAATGGTGATACCTATCTATGCGAGCTTACAAAGCGCTCTGCCATCACAGACTGCTGTCTACAGTATTAAAAAAAGCTCGCGTACATCCGGTCTTGTGTTGTTTAAATCAATATTAAATGTGTATTATCCTTAAGTAAAATTTAAGTAAAATGTAAGTAAAATCTAATATTCATTAGTAAAGTGACGCGCGAATATACAGACTGCGAACAAAAAAGACTTTTTACGTATTTATAAAAAAACATACAACAGGAACTACTTCAAGTTAGTGAAAAGTAAATTATATTTAGATTTTTACTAGGTGACCCGGCAAACGTTGTTTTACCATATAATTTAGAAAAGATAAATAATCTATAATAAATATCGACTGCAGCGCCATCTGCCAGGCTGATATGTGAATCTAAACCATCCAGGACGACACCCAAACGTATAGAAAAAAAAAACGTTCAAATCGGTCCAGCCAGTCCATCGTTTAGGAGGAGTTCAGTGACAAACACATGCACAGAAGAAATATATATATATAAAGATGTACAAAGTAAAAAGAAGCACCTTCGTTGATTCAAGATCCTCTTCGGATAATTCATCCTCGGATCCGTAAATGTTACTTAATGAATTAGTAGTACCTGTGAATAATTGAATCTGTTTTAATCACGAAATAAGCACAAAGTCACTCACTCATTTCAGTTTACAATTGGAAGCAGCCTGAACGAAAACGTAAAGTCAATTTAACAATCACGTTTATGTTTTATAGATGCCCTAGATTTTCATCATAAAAGGCACTTAATGTCAATTTTGTATCCCTGACAACGTGTATGCAAAATTTCACGATGGGTAGTAAATACGTGAAAGCTTAACAAACAAACAAACTCATTCTCGCAACTTTAAGCTAATATTAGCATGGATATATATTATTATTGCCTAATGTTTTTTTTCCGAAAAAAAATTATCCCAAAAACTGTTTATTTTCGCTGGATCGCTAGGTAAATAAGAACACTGTGTGATTGTTTTTCGTAGTATGTGTCTAGTTATAATATTTTTGATTAATCATTATTAATTTATGTGCCTTTGCGTACGTGTTAGTTTTGACACAAAACATCCTAGGGAACACTCACTATTGCTGCGGTGACCGGTCCAGTAGTAAAGGAACGGCAGAAGAACTAGCAGCGGTGTCATCCACATTCGGAAAAAGAACCAGAAGACCAGCCAAGCGCATAACGCTAGCACCGACTTCTCTCTGTTCTCCCATTCAAATGAATTCCTGAAACAATTTCTTATTAGCGTAGGTGCGTAGGTGACGGAGCTCACGACACATTCAAAAGGCTACCTGAACTATGAAATTTCAATTACACTGAAATAGCGACTTTTTTTTGTTTGCCTACCTAAGCAGACGGTCTAGAGATACCATGTCAGCGTCACTGGCCTAGTAGGTGAGATCACGGGGCATAAGCCTGACGATGTTGCTAACACGAACCCTAACAAGAGCCGTGCTTCGCAATCGACTTAATTATTGCGCTAGTCTACATAAACGAGCTGATCTCAAGTGATTGGCGCAGCCTAAAAACAACGCAACGTAAATTTCTAACCAGCACATGATCTTAAAACAATCGCACTATCAAATTTAAATAAGGGTATTTTGAATTTCAGGCTGTATTCGGAATTCAATATCAATCTAGCTCTATGTTTTCTTTCCTCTTTAAGTACGTACATTACATCAAAATACCCTTATACAGTACAGATGAGCTCATTTTTGAGCTTTGCCCTAACATGTAGGTCAGCTCGCGGGGCTTCAACCGGAGTGTTGCTAACACTGGCCCTACCAAGGGCAGTGCTTCGCAGAATCTACCACCGGATCGGAAACGCGACCCATTGAGAAGATCCGGCAAGAAACTCAGTGGGCTGTCTGTGGGTTAACTCGCTCGTCGAGCCCTTCGTCGCAAGCGACAGGTTCGGCGGGGACGGTGACCGGATGAATTTAGAAGTAAGCGTCGGGTATACGGGTATGATAATACTTTTGTTATTTATTTTTAGCTCATCTAGAATTTCGGTAGGCAGCGGCTTGGCTCTGCCCCTGGCATTGCTGAAGTCCATGGGCGACGGTAACCACTCACCATCAGGTGGGCCGTATGCTCGTCTGCCTACAAGGGCAATAAAAAAATAAATTAAATAAAAGTACCGAATACGAAACGTTAAAACCGAAACCCCAAAATACGGTACTGACTTAGACTTAGCTAAGTCTAAGGTTATTACCGTATTTACCGTACAAATAAAACTTTATTACTATTATTATTGTTAAAATTGTTTGAACCATAAAACGTAAGAATATTTGAATACCGTATGTAAATTTAACAGTAATTAAATAAACTTTTAGCTCAATGTAAAAAGTGAACATCGAAAATATAATCGACATTTATAATATCAGTAATAATTTTTGTAGGTACAATAGGCATTCACAAAAACAAAGTTGAATTAAAATTTTAATGATACATGGTTTTTCCATGAATAATTGCTAAAGTTCGACCACAATCAAAACTGGTTTTAGAAGATCGATTTATTTATTGCTCACTAGCTGACCCGGCAGAGACTTCGTAGTGCCTCAATCGATAAATAAAAGACCTAAACTTTTTTATAAAATAAACTTAAAACAAACAAAAGGAATCCGTCCGACGGGGGACATATCAAAAGAAAAACTAAATTGTTTGTTTTTATATAATTCCGAGCAGTTTCATATTTATCTACCTTTTAAACCTTCTCTGGACTTTCACAAATAATTCAAGACCAAAATTAGCCAAATCGGTCCAGCCGTTCTCGAGTTTAAGCGAGACTAACGAACAGCAATTCATTTTTATATAATATATAGATTGGAAACTAATTTCATTGCAGTACTTAAAAAATATTTTGTGTAATAAAATAAGAATACATAATTCTAAAATAAATAGCCGGATGGAATAATGTTTACTGTATACTTATTTAAATAATGATATACATATAATCATGAACCATGCAGTAAATTAATAGCCTTTATAAAACTACGGTCATTAACGTATCGTTGCTTATGCTTATAAAATACTTTTTTATCATTATGATCTTTTGTAAAATATTATGCTAAATCTATTATTAAGTTTTTTTTTATTAATTTTTTATTGTCCTTGTAGGTAGACGAGCATACGGCCCACCTGAAGGTGATTGGTTACCGTCGCCCATGGACTTCAGCAATGCCAGGGGGAGAGCCAAGCCGTTAAGTACTCTCCACAAGCCTCGTTTGAAGAAGGATATGTCATAGCGCTCGGGAAACATCGTGGAGGGAAACTCATTCCAAGGTCGGATGGTACGTGGCAAAAAAGATCTCTGGAAACGCACTGTGGATGACCGCAGCGGCTCCAGGTAGTATGGATGAACTCTACTCCGGTGGCTTGCGATGCGATGATAAAAACGAGATGATGGTATCATCTCAAACAATTCCTCAGAGCACTCCCATGGAACATGCGGTTATGTACACGGTACGGTACAGTTAAGTATTAAAGCAAGTATTTGATTGCTTATTAAATTGAGGCCAGTATTGGAAATATCCTTGAACGATAAAAGCAAGTTCGGGCCAAACTCGTTGAGATTTTCTATCTGAATTCTTGTACTACTCTATTGCACAGAACATAGTTTGTATTTCAGCTCATCTGAATACCATATTTTGATTGTTCTTTAAACAAACCTTTCCATACACGCGCAGTGTCATCGTGTCAATGCGTTTGAATGAGAATTTAAATGCGGCCAGGTCAATGTTCGATTTGGAACTGTGTAAAGTTCTTAAAGTATAACTGCATATCTACTTACTATAAATAATCTAACTACATATATAATTATGTTATTCAGTATAATGAATGTTTCTGTTGAAAAAACTATGCTGCTTTGATTAATTCTCATTTTTACATTCAAATAGCTTTCAACCAGTTTTTTTTAATTAAAAACCAACGGAATCTCAACGGTCTGTTATGTTTTACTAAAGTTTTTTCGAACGCTTTGGATCATCGAGGAACAAGGTTTTTTATTAATTAGCTGCTTATGAACATTTGAAGAAGTGATCCACGTGGTTTTAAGTAGTTGTAGGAGCGAGCACAAATAAATAAAAAAAGTTTCGAGAAAAACAACTGGTACTGTAGCCGTTGTAACTATACTGTAGCCGTTGTAACTATACTGAGACCTTAGAACTTATATCTCAAGGCGGGTGGCGCATTTACGTTGTAGATGTCTATGGGCTCCAGTAACCACTTAACACTAGGTGCGCTAAGAGCTCGTCCATCGATCTAAGCAATAAAAAATAAAAAAAACTTTTGATTGGCGATTCATACTCGCTTATTCATATTCGCTTCGCAAATGTATTTAATGCCGGAACCACACTGCGCTATTCGCTATTCGTTATGCGAGCTATTCACGCGCATACGGCGAAGTGTGGAGAGTATATTCGCCAATATTCGCTTTATTCGTACGCATAACACATAAGGACGAATAGCAAATACGCGTATCCGTCGACTTGTCCGTTTTTGACACACTTCAAAGGACACGAATAAGGCGAATATGCGCATCGACTGCCCACACTTCGGTGTGTCATTTGCTCGCTTGTGAGTTGTGGCGGTCGTGTATCGACGTGTCTTATGACTTGTAATCATCCACCAGCGTTTTCTTTTCGGCCTTTCAGTAACTTTGTACAACAAGTGAGTCGACTATTATCAAAGCCGGCAATGTGACTTTTGGACAATTATTGGTAAATCAGAAAAACGAATTATTGACTTTGTATTCTATTGGCAGTCACAAAACTCTTCTGAACGACATTTTAGATAAATAACAGGTTAAGTATTAACCTTTATTTAATGCAGGTTTTGAACCGTATTCTTTGAAGGAGACGATTATATTCAAATCAATCTGTATTGACATATCAATAACATTTTTTTGTCCAAATGCACAGATTGCCACCTTTGATAATAGACGACTCAAGTATTGGTAAGAAACATTTAGGAAATAATAAATTGCGGCAACTCTCAACACGTCTATCGCTCCACGCAAACAAGACACATATTTGCCTTATTTGGCATAATTCAGCGCACAAGCTCGAAGTGTGGATGGCATGTTTGTTGCTTGCGCGCTTAACAAATATTTTGGCGAATACGGCGTAGTCACATAACGAATAGCGCATAACGCAGTGTGGTTCCAGCATAACAGTGTAAACAAAAATTACTCACTTTAAATATTCGTTCCCTGTATGTACCACATTAAATATATCTTTGATGAACAGCAGATTGTTATATATTAAGGGAATACTAAATTTTTTAGGCGTCTTCTGATCGTATTTCGCTTCCTTAGGACTTAAAGTTCGTAGCGCAGCTTTTAACTAAAAACAACAATCGTAATTTAGTAATTTCACCATTTTGGAACTGACAATGTATGAAAAATTGCTTTTCAATGGATCTTTGACTCAATTCTTGCTTTATAATAAATAAATAAAAATTATACAAAAGATCTAACATCTACTGTCTATTTATTAAAATAGGTATTTGATAAGACAGTTCTTTTTTTAAAATAACAATTGATAGATCATTATTTTATTGTATTAAAAAACGCATTAGTGACGGTTCCCCCCCCCCCCCTCTTTGCATAAAAAAATTGTTAATAAAACAACAGAAGGTAAGGTGTGAGCAGTAAACAACCTTTAAGAAGAACACACAAAGCAGCCCTCACGCACAGAAACCCTACGTGATCAATTTTTAAATACTCTATGTGCTTCAATACAAGTATTGTCAGTTGATTTCTGCTTGACGTTTTCTCGCGTACCAGCGCTATTGTCGATACGGCGAAGGTTGTATAAAATGAATTAAAAACAGGATTTTTCATAATATATTCAAAAAGTGTTTGTCTACTCTAGGTATTGGAATTCAACTATAAAACTGTGTTATAGCAATATACTTTGTATAGTTGCGAGACGACAAAGAACCGTAAATAATTTCACATACCGGATTCCATACAATGGACATCTGCAGGAGTATCCTGGGGCAGTTTCCTTTCGCATTCGACTTTTTCATTTTATCTTTTAGCGCGTACCATCTTTTCTCGTCGTTGATGATTCGTAAGAGTGGTATCGATATTTTACCGAGAGTTTCACCGATAATCGATTCATCGTGAACTTTGATATCCAGGGTTGACGTAATATCGTTTACGGCACTGAAAAAAAATACATTAATTCAGTGGTGACTTTCGTACGATGACGAAATATTGTGCAATAATTAATTTGGTTACAACAATGGGTTTTTATTTTCAATAATTGTATGTGTATTTTTTTTTTTGCTTTATAAAGATTATTTTTACATAGAGGCAGAGGATCTACGGTTTATCTGTTGATAGGCACTATTAGGATAAAATATAATAGATTTCTTATAACCAAAAGATATCTTATAGTAGCTAGGAGAATAAATTGGGAAAAAACCAGGGGATTGGAGGTACGAAAAAAGATAAGGATACCATTCAATGACGTATAGTAGGAAAATACACAATGTGAGGGAAAATTATATATACATTTGTACTACCTATTCCAGCCATAAGTTTGTTACAAAGGAAAATGCATTTTTTTTAAATGAAGTAATGTTAGAACCAAGGCAATGTATTATTAAAATTTATACCTACATACTAATTAAAGTCTCAGCAAAAATAAATAAAATATTATATTCGAAATGACCACGTTTGGCTTTTATACAGTCCTTTCTGTTTGGCCACGAATCTATGGATTTACGAACTGTTTCCAAGGGAAATTTCGCCACTGCTTGCTCCGCAGATTTTTTAAGAGACTCAATATCGCCGTGTCGCTTAGAATAGGCCACGTCCTCTAAGCCTGACCATAAGTCTAGTGTTAATTAATGGCTGGACTAGATGAGGGCTAGTCTTCAGCTTTTAAAAAGTCCGGAACGTTGGTTTCAAGCCAAGCTTGGGCAGTTCATGCCTTATGATCAGGTGCAGAGTCCTGCTGAAAAGTCCACGGTATATTTTTAAAGATCCCAGACTGTATATACTTTGGCTGAAGTTCTCAGTCCTTTTTCACAAAAATGTAGTTTTGTTACTCCTTGATTAGACGCGCACAAATTTTTGCTGCCTAATGGGGTTTCGACGAATTGTGGCTTTAACAGCATTAACAGCTTTTGTAGTTCTAACATCACGCGGCTGCCCCGATTTTTTCTGGTCTTCGACAGACGAAGTGTTGTTGTATCTGTTGATAGTACCTACGATATACGAACATATGGCTGATCCCAAGCTTTTGAAGTGTCTGAAATATGACCGACGGCTCCATACCCACTTTGTGCAAGGCAGTCAAAGCAGTTCTATTTTCTTTAACACCCCATTCCATATTGTAATTTGATAATGAACATTAAAAAATATGTGAAATGGCGCAAAATCGAAAGAAGTTTTTAAAATAATATACGTGTTCTATATTCAAAATAATTCAAAAAAAAGAAAAGTTTATATGTAACAGTATGTATGGCCAGACTAGTTATATATTTATTATTTATATATATTCATAAATATAATATATTATTTATTTTTCTTTCCTAAAACTAAAGTACCCCTATTATATTAGGAACAAAAATTAGTACAGAAAAAAAAACAATTTATTATTTCACACGATGGAATTTCCGATTAACTATAAACCTGTACTTTGATTTTACGAAACACAAACTACGGACATTGTTATATCTTACCAACAGAATGTACAAACAGATAATATTAAGATTAAAAAAATTGTGACAAAAAAACTTTTGTACAAATAAGAGCATTTGAAAAAAAGAACGATTTTATTATAGTGGTTTTAATTACCAGGTTGACTGTTAGAAGCAAAAAGTATTAAAAAAACGATGTGTTGTACATTTTTTGCCATCGTCACTTTAAATTCATCATTCCTTACATGTGAGTAGAGAGCTTTTTGTAGTAAGTACTCTCTAGATAAAAACTCCTCGCCATTAATCTTTTTTTTTATTGCCCGTGTAAGCAGACGACCATATGAGCCACATGATGGTGAGTGGCTACCTGTGGTGGCTACCGTCGCTCATGGACGTGAGTAATGCCAGGGGTAGAGCCAAGTCGCTGCCTACCGCTTAATACTCTCCACAAGCCTCGTTTGAAGAAGGACATATCATAGCGTTCGGGAAACACTCTGAAGGGGAGCTCATTCCAAAGCCGGAGGGTACATAGCAAAAAAGATCTCTGGAAACGCACGTGAATGACCGCTGTGGCTTCAGGTAGTATGGATAGTACGGAACTCTACTCCGGTGGCGGGTGGTGTGATGGTAAAAACGAGATGATAGTATTATCTCAAACAATTCCTCTGAGCACTCCCCATGAAACATACTGTACAAAATACAGATGGAACCGAAATCCCTCTGCAAATCCAGAGGTTCCAAACGGGTCGTAAGAATGAGATTATCGACAATCCGAACGGCACTTCGGTATGGAGTCAAATGGAAGTAGCTGGTATTTGGGAGCCCCAGCCCAGAGGCGGAAGCAGTACTTCATGCGAGGCCGGACTTGTGCTTTGTAGAGAAAAAGTCTTTGTCCAGGCGTGAACTACCGCTTCGCTCGTAAGCCGTAACTCGTAAAACAATCTCAAATAATTCTTTAGGATTTTGATCGCGGAACGTACGGTACAAAGTATAGAGAGAACCAAAGTACCTCCGAGAGGAAATTTTTTCAAATTCGTATATTTTGATTAAATTTTTTTTTGGAACGGCTTAGAGGAGCTTGCTGCGCGACCGAACTGAAAAAAATGTGATAGTAAAACCGTAAGAAAAAGTCCGTGGAATAAAACCGTTAAATGAGACGTGCGCAGGCGCGACAGTCGTATACACAAGCGAGTAGTGTATATTTTGTAATTATTTCTATTTCTATGTAATTTTATGTTGTCAAACAAAAATAAAGAGACATATTTTGTTATTTTAACTTTAATTTTATTGATAATTTGAATTACGATTTTTTTTTATTTTACGTAATTTATTATTTCCTAAAATACTGAATTTCCTAAATACTTTCCTGTACTTAAATAAAAACTAATCAGCAAAATTTAAGAGAAAAATCAAGAAAACCTACAAAAAATTGAGCACGATTTTTTTTTTGCAAATTGTGTCGATTCTACATTAGCCGAAAGAACTTCGTTCCTACCTGGTGTCCCACGACACCACATCTTTTTTTGTAATATTTTGATTCGCACTTACTGAAACGTGACATCGTTAACTCATCTAAGTAATTTAATAGCCTTAAAACTGTTGCAGTCCTTTGCAAAGTCATTTTGCGAGACATTTTTTTAACATAAACTTATCATAATAACAAAGTAGGAAAAGTATTATTCCTATTCTAAGTACTATTTTTATTTGTAACTACCCTCGTCGCATTATATTGCTAAATTTCCATAAACATAAATAAAGTTTGGTTCCACACTAAAGCTGATTAAAATAGAGAATTGCGATTTAATATCGTTTAGAATATTTATTTCGTTTATAGTTTACGTTTTAATAATATCTCAATTATCTGAACACCGAAGCCGAAATATATTTAACTATTGTCTCCTTTGCTATATATTATTACTATTGATATTTATAAAGGTCAATATTTTTTATTTATTGCTTAGATGTGTGGACTAGCTCACAGCCCACCTGGTGTTAAGTGGTTACTGGAGCCCATAGACATCTACAACGTAAACGCGCCACCCACCTCGAGATATAAGTTCTAAGGTCTCAGTATAGTTACAACTGTTACCCCCCCCTTCGAACCGAAACGCATTACTGCTTCACGGCGGAAATAGGCGGGGTGGTGGTACCTACCCGTGCGGACTCCCAAGAGGTCCTACCACCAGTGATTACGCAAATTATAATTATACAATATTACTTTTAGGAGCTAATAGTATCTTGTAGCGCAGTTTATTTTAAATAGAATTTCATCTTAACAGTTACATGACTTCTGGTTTACATCAGGTAAGTCTAAGTAATTACTTCCATCTTACGAAGGGATTGAAATAAATATCAAAAATGTGAAATAACCAATTTAAAAATCGTTAAGCAGGTTGTGTATATTTAAGACAAATTGCTATTTAGATTAATCTAAGTGACTGCTCGTTTAAGTCACTATCAAGCAATGACGCATAATGTTGATTGCAAACGACATTAATATATTTAAAAATATAAAATTTGTTGGTTGGTTCTTTGTCTGCGTTCTGTGTGATAGTACCTCGTTAATTCGATATACTTGTATCTGCAGTTGTTCTTTGCACGATGCTAACATACCGTCAATGTACGACGCCCAAGTCATACTTATAGTTTTATTTCATACAAGAAAATCAAGCTATAGTGCATATTAATTTGAAGTCGTCGTGGCCTAAAGGATAAGACGTCCGGTGCATTCGTATCGAGCGATGCACTGGTGTTCGAATCTCGCTGGCGGGTACCAATTTTTCTAATGAAATACGTACTCAACAAATGTTCACGATGACTTCCACGGTGAAGGAATAACATCGTGCAATAAAAATCAAACCCGCAAAATTATCATTTGCGTAATTACTGGTGGTAGGACCTCTTGTGAGTCCGCACGGGTAGGTACCACCGCCCCGCTTATTTCTGCCGTGAAGCAGTAATGCGTTTCGGTTTGAAGGGTGGGGCAGCCGTTGTGACTATACTGAGACCTTAGAACTATATCTCAAGGTGTGTGGCGCATTTACGTTGTAGATGTCTATGGGCTCCAGTAACCACTTAACACCAGGTGGGCTGTGAGCTCGTCCACACATCTAAGCAATAAAAAAAAAAAAAAAAAAGATAATTTTTGCAGTTGTAAGCCATAAAACACTGAAACTAAGATAAGCTAGCTAGCACACGAGCGCACATTGATATCTATAGAAATTATTACCTCTGCCCATCCTGTGACAGAATATTAAATAATCAACTGGTTTAATATGGTAGATTCTGCAAAGCACTGCTCTTTTTAGGGTTAGTGTTAGCAAATTCTCTCAGGTTAAGCCCGTTAGCGCACCTACCCATCCAGGCGTAGCTAGAATAGCCCCATATGTTACCAGCGAACAGGTAGCGAAAAAAACACTACATAGGATTGGGATTTAAAGTTAGGAATTAGACATTTACGCATTATTACGTATTATATACGGGGATATTACTAATATGAACGGATTTTATTAAGGAATTAACCGACACTAAGAATCAGTGGACAATATATTTACAGTATATTCTGATTAATAGATCCATAGACTATTGCTACTGACATCTTGTCAGGACAGGGCCTGTCCGCACAGAGATATTTCGCATATTAAATTACACCTAGTACGCACTGCGAATAAAATTTCGTATTATTTTTGTCAGTTTAACTCAGTTCTCGGCTGCAAACTTTTCAATAGCGACGTTGCACGACTGAGCGAAACGCGCGAATTATTATTCCGCAGTGCCATACTTACATAGCCATACTTTATATGGTATAAAATATTCGCGCGGAAATAAATCGCACCGCTTCGAGTTCAATTTGCATGAAGTCACAGATTTTTTTCCCGCACGATTTTTTTTACCGCCAGTGTGACTACTCCGATAGGATTAAACGTGTTATAGAATTACAAGAAAAATAAACACGTGCGGTGAAATATAGCAGTGCGAAAAATGGTCGCCTTCCACTGCTCACTAATAGCACATAAAAACCTAATGCTTTTTTATAACCTCGGCTTTAAGAATTTACTTACAATGTATAACTTTTGTTCCACATCGGCTCTGCCGCGCCACGGACTGTGTGAGTCTGTATCCTTGAGTTATCCAAGACTAAAACGCAATATGCATCAGCCTTTCCGCTGATCCCGAGTGGACTTAGCCCTCTGGCGCCGTATACAGTCACTGACAACTGACCCACTTCATTCCAATTGTTCTTTAGGCGATACCATGACTGAAACAAAAGAAGCATATTAACCTGATATTTAATTTTCTGTAATGTACATACCTACTCGTATAATTACTACGTATTCTAAAACAATTTGAATGTCCCATGGTTAATAAATTATTAATGCTAATGTATATAAAACATTCAATAAAATTTGCATATACAACCAAGAGGCAAAATTGCAAAATAAAAATTATTTTAAACAATTAGTTAAACCTGTTTTTGTTAAAACAAACGGTCTTGGTGTTTGATTTGATAAAATAAACTTACATCTTGTTGTCTTTCTAACTGTCTTGTTAAACTATTTCAAGAACTTACGATTAACCTCAACTTAATCTGAGGTCTCAATGATGTCGAAGGCTATTTTTAATTAAAAACACCTAATCCTATCTACTCTTCGATTACGCGAGTGAAGTTATTATCTGAATAAAAGACATCGTCATCCTGTGAGGGTTCACAATACACAAAAATAACCAGTTAGTTTTGGAAAAAAGAAATAATGCATTGATAGGAAGAACCATTAACTTTTTGTACAATGATCTTGTTTCGAATTTATATCTTTATATATAATGTAATTTTCCTGTGCGCTCAAGTGAATTCGAGAATGGTTCATATTCACAATTCGGTCCACTAAAAAATGTTGTTTATATTCTATTTTTTTAATGTTTAAAATTATCAGATTTAAGACGTATGTAAGCAGGACAACGTTTCTTGGGTCCGCTATAGTACTTTAATAGATTATATTTAAATCTATTAAATACTTCATAAATTGTATAGAGACAAAGAATCCGAAAGCTTAGTTACCTATTACTTTATGCATACGTTTTGAAACAGTTGTTTTGATGAGAAAATGATTAGGTTTTTTCCTAATTGACGTGTTCGGTGTTCTTCCGACCATTTTGTTGAAATGATTTTTTGTTGAAATGAAACGTAATGTACCGGTTCAGTTAATTCTCCTTCCTCGTTCATAAGCTTAAGCACATACTGAGAAACAATAACCTTTGTCTTTAACAAAACAATATAAATTTGGAAGAATACTAACTACGCAAAAACGAAATTGTTAAAATTATTATTTTTTATATCATATAATATCGAAGTTCGTCGGCATGTTTAAAAAAGTATACATTAAGTTGAAACACAATTAACAAATGTTATTTTCGATGAAGTCAAAATGAAAACTATCGTATTAATGTAATATCCACTCTCTCTCTCTCTCTCTCTCTCTCTCTTCGGTCGGTCCCTCACTGCTGAGTATCGTGATTCCTTTTGATTCCATCAACCAGCTGTCTCCATCGATCCTTTTTTGTAGCTTGGTGGAGTGCGTCGCTGACAGGTATCCCCAGTTCCTCCACTATTTGGTCCGACCATCGTTTGGGACCTCTACCCCTAGGCCTTTTACCCTCTATTTTACCGGTCACCACAAGGCGTCCCAAATTGCTGATGTCCCTGCGTGCAAAATGACCAAAATACCGCAATATTCTTTGTAGGCAGGTTGTGGATAGACGTTGAGTCTTTTCTATTTTTAACTGCCTGAGAATAGAGATGTTGGTACGGCGGGCCGTCCATGGTATTCGTAGCATACGTCGCCAGCACCACATCTCAAAAGCGTCAATTCTCTGCCTATCTGCGGCTTTCAGTGTCGACGTCTCTGCACTGTATAGAGCAATGGAGAAGACAAGGGTGCGGACCAGATGTATTTTAGTCCGGTGGGTAATATTACGGTCTCTCCAAATTTTGCTCAATTGGGTCATTGCAGATTTTGCCATGCCAGTCCGTCTCCGTATTTCTGGTTTGCTATTTCCTTTGTTGGTAATCAGTGAGCCAAGGTACGGGAACTGGGTTACGGTTTCGTAGTCATGTAGGAGATTGTTGCGTTGGATAGCTTTGAAACGGTCAATGATCATTAGCTTGGTCTTGGATTTATTAATAGCCCCATTTCCATACTGATGGTTTCCAGTTTGAGAAGTAACTCTGCCATTTCATTTTCCGATGAAGCAAAAAGGATTGTATCGTCAGCGTGCCTGAGATTCGATATCTTTACTCCGCCTATCTTTATGCCACCTTCCCAACCATCTAGAGTTTGTCGCATTATGTATTCTCCATAGATATTAAAAAGTATGGGAGATGTCACGCATCCTTGGCGAACACCCTTATGGAATTTGAAACGGCCTGATGTTAAATCTCCTACAGTCACAATGCCGTATCCTGACTCATACAGCTTGCGAACCAGCATTACGAGGTGGTCCGGTACACCTGTCTCGGAAAGAACTTTCCACAGTCTCTCCCACTTAACGCAGTCGAAGGCCTTTTGGTAATCCACAAAACACATAAAAGTTGGAGTGTTATATTCATAACACTTTTCTATTATAAGCCGAAGGTTTAGGATTTGCTCTCTGGTGCTCTCCCCTTCACAAAACCGGCTTGTTCCTCGGGTATTTGCCAGTCCAGGTAAGTTCTTAGTCTCGCGTTGATGATGTAAAGCAGAATTTTACTGGCATGGGATATCAGTGCAATGGTTCTGTAGTTATTACAGTTCCGTACCGAACCTTTTTTGTGAAGAGGAAGAATAGAGGAATGTGAGGCCAATCAGTTGGCCAATCCACATCTGGGATAAAAAAACCTACTAGTGATCTGAGCATACATTGAATTATACGGATGCAATTAAATAAGTCACTTTCTGTTATAATTAATATGTTCAACGGTAGGTAGTACGTAGGCGGTTAAAGGAATATTCCAATTCAAACCGGATTGGGTCGATCGTCACTAATGATAATTTATTGTAATACACTCATACTTAGAGGTACATATGTATGTGAGAGCTGAACGCAGAAACTTGATTTTTTAAACCATGTAAAAAGTCGGTCTAGTGTCATGTTTATATTTGGAAAACAACAAAATTAAATTGACTTTTTTTTTTAGTTTGAGGCTTAGGCAATTGTAATCCATGAATATTATTCTAATGCAAAGCATTATTATATTACTCATTGGTTACGCTGCTCATTGAGCAGAATAGAACTCTTGAATGACGTGAAACTTCTTCGATCAATATACTGTTATTGATCGAAGTGAAACTTCTGTGATGTAGCAAAATATAAGCGATTTTACAGAAGGCAGATTCAATCTTAAATCTGCAGGAAAATTCACAGCAGAAATACGCAGTCCTAGTACAAAAATCGTAATATTTTTGTTAAACATTTTGAAATATTTGTAATTTAAATGAAAATAACAAAACTGAGATACCTACTGAACATAGGAGGACATGATAAGGAAAAGTAAACATTAGATGCAGCGTAATGCATACAAATACCGAGGATTGGGCCCAAGCAAGTAATGTAAAACGCATAAGTAGTTATTTCTTTGTATTATTTGTATAAAACAATCTACAGTTTGTACATGTATTGTATTCAAATTAAGTTATGTACTTTACTAATTTACTGAATATACATTATATACTTTATTCTTGTTGTATGATCATTTTTAAATCTCAAGTGCTGAGGGCGCCTTGCATGTGTTGAGAATTCGTCTTGAACGATATCTATCTTATAAAAGAAAAGAATACGATGCTAGGATTGCTGGTGGCCTGAAAGCCTTTGCAGCCCCATCAGGACGCGAGCTTGAAGGCTCAGCAGGGGGTTTGTGGATTTTTGTTGTCAACTGTCGTAGCGTCTTAACAGCTGAAAAGCAGCTGCTTCACAAATGCATCTACCACCGGGTTCGGAGTCGAGAAGACCCGGCGAGAAATGGCGAGATGATGTTATGGACTAAGTGACTCGTTGAACTCTTCGGTGAGTAGAGCGAACTATACTTTAATGGTTGTTAGCGTTACATCTAATCCGAGTCCAAGACTCAGAGTAAATCTACTGGATCCATCAGGAGGGTATAGGGCGTCAACTGTGATTGGCGCCAGGGTTATACTCGACGGTCGTTATTATAAGGGGGTTATTGTATCGCAATATCATAGCGAAGAAATGTTTGATATTGCTTTCATATACTTACGGATGGGATCGAGATCTATAAAACAGGCCATCAATTCGCGTGAAACTAACATTATGGCAAGTCGGAATCATAGTAATGGCGATAAATAATATCTGTCAATTTAAATACTATTTAATCGAAATTCAAAGCATTATGACTTCTATGCCGATCACCCGATTAGGCTCTTCCTAGCGGTAGGCAAACGAAAGACTGCTCGTTAACGCTTCTGGGACTTTATCACCTCGAAAGACATCCTCATAAACAAACAGTTTGGATTTTGCGCCAAATACTCATGCATCCAACAAGTACACCATCTCATGGACCGCATCTTAGTAGGACTGAAGAGACCTAGAGCCGTTCTCACGACAGCCCTCTTCTTCGATATCGCAAAGGAGTTCGACAAAATCTGACACAACGGCTTATTTTACAAGCTGTACAACACGGAAGCGCCAGACAGTTTGGTGCTCATCATACGAGAGTTCTTGTCGAACGGTTTGTTTCGGTATCGAGTAGAGAACATCTTTTTTTTTTTTTATTGCTTAAATAGATGAACGGGCTCACAGCCCATCTGGTGTTAAGTGGTTACTGGAACCCATAGATATCTACAACGCAAATGCTGCCACCCACCCTGAGACATGAGTTCTAAGATCTCAGTATAGTTACAACGGCTGCCCCACCCTTCAAACCGAAACGCATTACTGCTTCACGGCCGAAATAGGCGGGGCGGTGGTACCTACCCGTGCGGACTCACGCAAGGTCCTACCACCAGTAATGACGCAAATTATAATTTTGCATATAATTTTTATTACACGATGTTATTCCTTCACCGTGAAAGTCAATCGTGAACATTTCTTAAGTACGTATGTAATTAGAAAAAGTTGTATCCGCCTATGAGATTCGAACACTGATGCATCGCTAGATACGAATGTACCGGACGTCTTATCCTTTAGGCCACGACGGCCTACTCTCATCCGCGTCAGATCCGGGCCAGACTCCCGCAAGGCTCTGCTGTCTCCCCGCTACTTTTTACCATAAACATTAACGATATACCCCGGTCGCCGGTGATCTAGTTAGCTCTCTTCGCCGATGATATAGCTGTCTACTACTCGAGTTCGAAGATGTCGTTTATCCACAGTAAGCTCCAGACCGCGGTCATCAATTTAGGATAGTGGTTCTGGCAGTGGCGCATTGACATCAACCTCACAAAAAGCAAAAGATGGTCCCCCTCCCGATACCACTGCTAGTATCTCGTCTCAATTTGTGCGCGGTAACACCATTTCAGCCATCAAAATCTTTGGTTAGCCCATATCGTGACCCTCGAAGGCTAAGTATCAGGCATCAACCTTGACAGAGGGATGAGATTCCATTCCCACAATAGGACAGTCTGCGGCCGAACCGCATTCCTACTCGGTCTACTTTACTCCATGATATAGGCTGTTATATATATAAGCTGTCCCTTCGCAACAAGGTGACACTCTACAAAACTTGCATACGTTCCATCATGATCTATGTAGCTAAGTGTAGTCTTCGTTCACGCAGCACATTAACTCTCTCCAGGTCATCCAATATATGTCTCATTAGATCCTTCGGATCCGCTCTAGGTGCTTATATATTAATTTTTTTCTCCTTAAATTACTTTTTCACTTAGAATGCACGGCACTAATGTAAATTCGTCATGTATACCAAGGCAATCTAAAATAGTAAGTTTTATTCAGTATATGAATAAATCCCCAACTAAACTAATAAGGAAACTGCAGAACACAGAGTAGATAAATATTCATAATAGTTGAGCTAATATTTAACATTTGTGCAGACTTCCGTCTATTTAAATAATTATTAATTTATTTGGCGTTTGAAAAAACAATTAGTTTATTACATATAATCTATAACATACATTTTGTTGAAACATAGTAACTTATTATTAGACAATAAGAGACAGTTAAAAAAAGATAGCAAGACTTCGCATTCGATACTATTTTTAGATACAATTTTTTTCCAGTGGTAATTTAAATCATTTTGTAATAATATAAACGCTAATTATAATCTATGTCGTCGTATTTCAAACATGTAGCCGACGGTTATTCTAATAAGAAATATGCTAATGAATAATATATGTAGCAGGTTGATTAATTTGTTATTCTGCATATTCTGGTACCAAAATATTTGTCGTCATAAACTCTTATGATTTGACCAGCAATCTGTTATACGGGTTTAATACGACGTTTAATACGTTAATTAATGTGCGAAATTCTCATGAATGTTTTTGAAAATATTACTCATTTGAAAATGTTAGTTAAACCTTCTTCTATTTGGCTATTAAATCAGTATGACAGGAATTAACGCTGTGCACTATAGTGTCTTTCACTACTGTACCGAGGATGATTTGACACCAAGTTGGAATAATTTTATAGATTTAAAGTGTTGAATAATCCAAATTCGACCATAATTGAGATCTCAACTTTTAGATTTAATTTTATTGTTTGTATGGGTTTTCTTATTGACATTAAAAAAAACTTTTTTTTTTAATTGTTGACACAATTCTGACATAAAACAACAGCTGTTGAATTCGAGCGGCCATTTTGAAAAGAACGGTTAAGCTAAAACCTAATCAACTGCTACATCGCGGTCGCTTAAACTTTGAGATAGTTCAATCTACGACTATAATTTAAAACTACGTGTTGATCGTCAGTGACCGTTTAGCCTTCGATTTTACTTTAAACTACGATTGCTATTCGGCTTAAAGGCTATCAACAGCTACTATAAAAATTAAAAAAACCCTTATTATGTAGCTACGAAACAAAAGGAAAAAAATATGATTTGTTTAGACCATCGATTCACAAACAGAAGAGAAAATGGTATACTGGTACTTAACTGGTATGTCTTTGAATATGTTTAATTTACGTTCGAGGCTTGGATTATATCTCTTCTTCAATCTTAATTATTTTTTTATTTTAAATTAGTAAATAACTTGTTTGTCTTTGAATGTTTATGTAAAATTTACGTTCGAGGTTCCGATTGTATCTTAAATATATTTTTTATTTTTTTATTAGTAGACAACTTTCTTCAAAGCAACGAATTCACAAATAAAAAATATAAACTCAGTTTGAAATTATTAAGCTTATGATTTAGATTTTTAAATCGAAGTGAACGGTTCTAATATTAATAAATAATAATTGTACTTACAAATTCTTCAATATTTGGTGTTGGGTGTAAAACGTTGTTGCTTGTCGGTATATTGTCAACAGCCAATCCTCTGGTTAACTGTGATCCGTTGACCGTGATCAACATATGTATAAAACCGTATCCACATTCCAATTCCTGCCAAATATCGTGAGTCTTTTCTTTTTCGAGTCGAGAAAGGTCAATGACGCATCTGAAATCGCTAAACATGTTTAAGGAGCAACACCAGCAGGTACATTTAGGTTATATTTATGATACCTACAACAATTTCAATCCGTATACTATTACAAAAAAAGATTCCTTAGGCTATTTTCAGGATCAAGAATTAATGTTATAAGTACTATTTATTAAAAACTAATATTTTAGTAATTTTATGGTATAATTTGTATGTTTACTAGTTTGACATTTCTAATCATAAAAGTAGGTACTACTATCGATAGGTAGGTACTATTGGGTACTACTACTACTACTATCGATATAAACTTCGACCTCAAGTCTGCGGTGGGCGTGGTCATGATGTTATGAATACGGGCTCCCTGTAACCGATTTACAAAAAACAGTCAAATTGCTTCAAAATTCTTCCATAAATACAAAAAAATCGAAGAACTAATATCTTTATCAAATATGTAGTCCAATAGTAACATTTTTATTCGTTCAGAAGCCCGCACGGGTAGGCAGTACTGTCAAGCGCATTTCAATTTTTTTTTTTTTAATGCTAGGTGAGTGGACGATCTCACAGCCCACCTGGTGTTAAGTGGTTCCTGGAGCCCATAGACATTTACTTACGACGTAAATGCGCCACCCACAAGTATAGTTACAACGGCTGCCCCACCCTTCAAACCGAAACGCATTACTGCTTCACGGCAGAAGTAGGCAGGGTGGTGGTACCCACCCGCGCGGACTCACAAGAGGTCCTACCACTAGTAAAAAATTTGCGAAGTAGTTCTGCATTCCGGCTTGAGACGTGGACGCAGCTATTGTACTTTATATTGAGACTTCGACTACGTGTCTCAAGGGGAGTGGCGGCATTCTCGTTGTTATGCATATGAGCTCCGATTACTACTTTATATCAGTTGGACTGTAAGCTTCACAATTCTATGCAAAAAAATCCGTATATAACTTAATAAAATTGCAATAGAATAAAACATTTAAAAAAGTACAAAAATATGATTAACAGGTTTGAATCTACACGTTGACCTCAGTAAGAAACAAAGTACCAGTAACATTATTTCGTATAAAGTTTACTATTTTAATAATGACGGACTCCATGGGTTTCATGTTCCGGTTCAACATATTTCTGTATAATCGCGTACAATGCTAGGATCATGCGACGGCTGTGGGGGACTTCAAACAATCCATTTTTAAAGACTACATAATAAAAATCGTACATATTTCGATAGCTTTAACGTCTTTCTTAAAAAATAATTTATGTGTGATTTTTTTTTAGATGTTATTCTCACCTTCCCATAAAGTTTTTCTGTTTTCCTTTATGCCACAAGGATACCTCTAAATTGTTTTCCTCGTACAAATATATATTGAATCTCTCACACCACGCAGGCTTTGTTTTCAATACTTGTCTAGATTTGTGAGATTCGTTGCCTAACCTAAATAGAAGCAAGTTTAAAAAATATTGAGAAATATAGCGATAAAATAAAGAGTATCGCGAAAAATATAGTGGTAACAAAAGTGTTTATGCTTAAAATACATTGATTACTATTTTATTCTAAATAAACATATTATGTAATTTATAGAAAATGCTTATTGTTGATCTCTTTATGTTGATGATCCTCGGCACGAAAAACAAATATGTATCAAGTGGAATACTTAATAAAATACACTACAGAAAGAGATAAATAGTTTGAAGGGTGGGGCAGCCGTTGTAACTATACTTGAGACTTTAGAACTTATATCTCAAGGTGGGTGGCGCATTTACGTTCTAGATGTCTATGGGCTCCAGTAACCACTTAACACCAGGTGGGCTGTGAGCTCGTCCACCCATCAAGGCAAAAAAAAAGTTCAATTTAATATTTCAATTGTTAAGTTTCGATTCATTAGTGCTATTTAAAAATACCCTACAATTCTGATAGACGGGATGTGACGACAAAATACTGAATAGCTTTCACACTGGTCGAGACCTTGATGTCTCTTACGAATATTTTATTTAAAATATTTCCGTGACGCCTTATTTATTGACTACATAATATATTTTTGAAATTTATGAATGAATTAAGTTTACGTATAAAGTTATTTTATCGCTTGATTTATCTGTTTGTTAGAGACTCTAACTGCAAGAACACGTGATCCAGATTAAATTTCTCAAAGAATGTCATTCTTAAAGATCTCAAACGCAGATATTTTCACTACTTCTAACCAAAAAGAAAATCGCTGTTTTAGACCCTACATTTTTTTAGTTAACTTTAAGTCTATTAGTTAAAAAAAGCAAAACAAAATTGTATCAAAATATTTGTCAGACAGGAAATACAAATAAATAATTTAACAGCACAATAGAATAGACTTTATTCGATTGTGGAAAAGGAAAATAATTTTTTTCGTCTGTAAAGGTTTTATTCAATTCATATATTCTTTCGTTGAACATTTTAAATGTGTTATCCTTAGTGCGAGCTTTAGTAAGGTGTTCTGAGGATAAGATCAACTTTAAACATGTATTTGTCCAACGTCTGGGCATTATTCAGCGAAAATTTAGACATTGACGGACATTATTTGATTTGTTAATAAGATTGTAGAATTTTTTTGAATTATACTAACTTGAACTTGCAGTAGAGGCCATTGCAGGTTGTAGTCTGGTCATCCGGCAAGTCTTTAGCTTCGATTAATACAATATTTACTAAAGATTTCGTAGGCTTCTTCAGTACGTCAAATTTTCTGTTTTTCCACATGTACTAGATGAACAATTTATTTCTTTATTTCATTAATACAAAAATGACAACAACATTTTACCATACACCATAATGAACTTTCTTCATTCATTTATTTTTTCAAATGAATTCTGAATATAATTCTTAGGCGTAAGCAGTGGCTTAGACGTGCTTGGCATGACTAATGTACATGTGTGATGGCAACTTACGAGCACGTGGGCGGTAAGCTCATTCTGTCTACGATGGCGATTAAAACGAAACAAACATAGCTCTGTTTAACCTTGGAGCCTAATTTGTAAAATACATATTAATAAGCAGTAATATATTATCGAACTCGACACATACCTTTTGTACTTTTTTGCCGTGATCTCGGAGCAACGAAAGTCCGCTTCCGATCCGGTCCATGATGTCTGCTGATACCACCAGTGTGTTCGGTACCATCGGATCCATACCGAAACCGTCAGGGATCGGGAACGACCTAAAGAATAACACTAATTTGACGTACAATCCACTACGTTTGCCCCGTTTTACGAATTTTTATTTCCTTAAACAATTTATTTTTATCCACTAAATCGATCACTAACTGTTGATGGACTTAAAAGATTTTCTCACGAATATTATATGTGTAATATTATAAATAAAATAATTATTCTTGTTATAATCATACTTTAAATCGTTCGAAAATTAATTAATTATATGCGATATTGAACGACATGCGTGCTATATCCGCGGCGCATGACTGTAAACTCGGTCGGTTCAACTCAGCTCTGTACCGTACCATTGAAATCTCGTTTTTGCTTAAACAGGTAGTGATCTTCGCCAAACTTTTCACGGTCGCAATAGGTAATGTAATCTTAATGCTTAACTGAATTGTGTTCGTAAATTTTACTACAAAGGTACTACCTAAACACCTGTGTTGTAGTTCAGCTTTACTGTCTCAGAATAAGGGATTGTGTTTCTATTTTAAAACAAAAGAACAATACTTAATTTAGTCAAAGATCCAGGTTACATAAATTAAATCATTGTTTTTTTTTTGCTGTTCTTTATTCATGAGATTTATTCCTTCGTCGCTTTAACTACAACTAAGTTACTTAATGTATATTTTTAAATGCATTTCGGATTTTGGTAGGAAAAAAAACAGAACAGCTCTTAAACAATTTTTGTACATCCAAGGGCTTAAAATAGGGTTTCCGAATGTACCACATACCTACACTTCATTGCAGTACCGGATCGGATACATTTGAAACAGGAACACGCAGAGCGTAAAAACTAAATATTAGACTGATTGTTTTTCTGAAATGTTGAGAAACTAACTCATTGCTAATAGATTTTGAATTCGATGAGTTTATTTTCTTGATTTTTAATCATCCTATGAATTCGTCAGATGCTTCTCCTAAAGTCTGTTAGTAAATGGGCCACTATCGTGGTAGGCGAGTCTGTTTCCAGCTCGAAGGTAATATTTTAGTAAATTTAATTGACAACATTTGGTATTCAAGATATACACTATAGTGTGCAAAACATAGTAGGAAATCCTAGATGGAAAATGAAAATTAAGGTATTTTCAATCTAATGTACATGTAATTTATTTTCAAACTATGATTTTAGAATTTCGCGAATGAGTACGTAGGTATAATAGAAATTTCTGCTGCATACACGGTCCAATGCAAACGGTCGAAGATTATAGTTTCTTGTGCTTTTTTTAAGAGTTTAAAATAAACCTTAAAAAACCCAAAATCTGAATTATATCGTAATGTTTTCCGTTTGAAGAATTCAAAATCACGATCAAATCATAATTCGTAATTCTTATAATAATAATATGATGTTGCAATGATTTATATTCTCACTATACAAAAAAAAAACTGACTGAAATAATATTCATTGTTGTAAGCTGCAGCTTCAATCAATCAAAATGATCACTACGAGTATAATGAAATGAATATCTTCCTTTAGATTTTTTAAATCTAGTGTTACTTTGACCTCAGATGCTTCGATGTCTGAATATTTCATGTTCATGAGAAATGTATAATTAAAACAACTTTTACGGTTTGATTTCTCGTGCTTTATGTTGTACTAACTACCGTCTGTTCAAATGTCGACGAAAAACACCTTCATTACCAAGTATTTGAAACGTCAACAATAATATAAATAATAATAGTTTAAAAAAAAACTAAAAAATACGCTTTTCTAGAAAATCCAACTAAAAAATAGAAAATAAATTTTAATAAATTTGAATTAAAAATAGTGTAAGAAAAAATGATTTTAATGTAAAAAAAAGCGTGGGGTGCATGGTATCAGTAGTTATAAATATTTTAGGAACAGATATGAGTAAAAGGGTTATTTTGATAATATCTTGAAAAGCAACCCACGCTTTTTTACAATAAAATATTTTTTTCTTACACTATTTTTAATTCAAATTTATTAAAATTTATTTTCTATTTTTTAGTTGGATTTTCTATAGAAGCGTATTTTTTTAGTTATTTTACATTATTATTTATTTTTCATTTGTTATTTATTGTTAGTTGTATTTAAATTTTTTAATATTTTTTAAATATTGAATTGTCATCGGTCCTTAATAAGTATACCAAATTTCGAGTTAATCCGACGTTTTGAAGGGGGTCAAAATCATGTTCAAAGATTCCGTTACATACATACATACATACGTCTGAAGCTAATAAAAGCGTATTAAAAATAGTTTTCATTATTGAATATGACGTCTTGTGAGTCCACACGCCATTCCGATAGAGGCACCCGTCACGTGCGGACGTGCTCATCGTCCACTCGATCGCCCGGTCTTTGTTCGCCCGGCTTTTGTTAGCCCGGCCATTGTTCGCGCGGCCTGTGTTTGTGGTACATCTGCCGACTAAGTGCTCTTTCTGGAAGTTTTTATTTGTTTTGTTTCCTTTTGTTGTTTCTGTGTTCGTGGTACATCTGCCGNAAAAAAAAAAAAAAAAAAGTCCACACGGGTAGGTACCACCACCTTGCCTATTTCTGCCGTGCAGCAGTAACGCATTTCGGTTTGAAGGGTGGGGCAGCCGTTGTAACTATACTGAGACCTTAGAACTCATACCTTCAGGTGGGTGGCGGCATTTAAATTGTAGGTGTCTATGGGCTCCGGTAACCACTTATCATTGGGTGGGTCGTGAGCTCGTCCACTCATCTAAGTAATTAAATTGAAATGATTCGGGAAAACCGAAAAAAATACTAAACCAAATCCGCATGGCGAATAGTGGAATGAAACACCACTTATAATATTTAGTTTCCGTAAAGCTAAGCAAGGACATTATTATAATAATAAATTTCATAAGAATGAATTTAAAACTGGTTTTATTATAACCAGAGCTTATTCAGCGATAATGTTTATTTGTATCTAACTAACGGTGAAGCCACAAGCCTCCGGTTCGCTGTGACTAATACAAAATGTAAGTATTAATTTACTCTACAAACTTCAACTACGTATATTTATCGAATGAATAATGCACGTACGCATTGAACGCGCACAAACAAACATAAATTATAAACAAATTAATGAATTTATAATAATATACTCGTAGTAGGAAGACAGATTAGCATCGTGTATTTATTGTAATTTTTAATCACGTAATATACCTACTAGACCCCCAATGTTACGATCGTTTACACGTGTCTTGCTTTTTTTATTTCCCTCCTAGGCAGACGAGCATACAATCCATCGAATGGTAAGTGATTACTGTCGCTCATGGACTTCAGCAATGCCACGGGCAGAGCCTAGGCACTGCCTGCTGTTAAGTACTCTCCACCACTAACCTCGTTTGATGAAGGACATGTCCCTGACTGAACCCAGTTTAAAAAATTAAGGTTTTTTTTAAAAATCATACGTACAAGGCATCTACCGATATTCCAGTATTTGCGCAAAATACATAATGAGCAATTTATAAACAGTCTGCTATGTCTTATTCGATCGAGCCTGGTTGGCATAATCGTGATGTGAAATGATCCAACTCTAGTTGAAGACCGGCTCGACCTTAAACTTACTTAAGAATAAATAGTACACTTGCTTAAAAAATCAAAACATTAATTATTATTAGTATAGTTAATTTATTTGTTACTAAAAGACGGATGATAGTGAGATGTAATATTAGTTCGGGTCGGCCTTCGATCAACAATAGTAACTTAGTAGTATAACTATAATAGTTGGACATATGCTGTCGCGACACTTTTTGTAAATAAAGACTTTTGTACTTAGTAGTTACTATTGTTGATCGGAGGAGTCGGCATACTTAGTGGGGGAATTTGCGTGTGAGACCTTCTAGTGAAGTATTTTGATATAGTAATACATATGAGTCGTCTATTATCAAAGGTGGCAATCTGTGCATTTGGACAAAAAATGTTATTGATATGTCAATACAGATTGATTTGAATATAATCGTCTCCTTCAAAGAATACGGTTCAAAACCTGCATTAAATAAAGGTTAATATTTAACCTGTTATTTATCTAAGATGTCGTTCAGAAGAGTTTTGTGACTGCCAATGGAATACAAAGTCAATAATTCGTTTTTCTGATTTACCAATAATTGTCCAAAAGTCATATTGCCGGCTTTGATAATAGTCGACTCATATAATCGTAGCATACAAATTGAACACATAATTCATTAGTCAGGCTAAGCTTTAAATTAGAAATCAAAGGCAATTATCATTTTACCAGACTGCCGAAGGGTGATTGATATTTTCAGAAAATGTGATGTTTCTCTGTATAAAAACAAAACGGCTAACCTTAAGGTCATGCTTTTCAAATTCTCGGAAGTATCTGTGCGTCACAATACCTACATATTTTTTGTATCATATTTTATCCTCCATCGCTCAGCGGCATACTCAGTTCAAAACAATATGTAAAATTAAAACTGATGATGAATGCAATTAGCTTTTGTAATTATGTATAAGGTAATAGTACAAAGTAAATACCTAAATCTATGTTTTGTACGTTTAGTTTTTAAGAATTTGATTTTTGTATCTACTTATAATAAATCCACTGGTAAACTAGGGTATTTTAAATGTAATCATGCTTATTATACCAGTACCTTAGAAAATTATATTGTACTATTATATAATAGTACGTATGATAATTACCTAATGACATTATATAAATCCCAGAAAGAATAACCGTTAGACTCGATAAAGAAAAGTACTCGAGGGATCATAACATAACATCAATAACGAGGTAATTTACCTGGTATAATATGATAAAGTACCAGTTAATACCTGTGAATCGTTGCTTAAAGATTAAGAAGAGTAAAAGCTGTAAAGTAATTTAAAAAAATATACATTGTGGATGACAAGCTTAACCGGGTACGCTAATCTGCACTCTGTCAACGTGTACTTGAGATATGAGGTACGGAATTTCAATTAAACTGTATAAAAGTTGTTACAGTTTCCAAACCGAAATGCATGATTGATTCGCGATAGAATTAGACTATAAAGCGAATCCCATGTATAGGTGTTTTT